TGGGGTTTGTTTTGTTACGCCTACCTTTCTGGGTGCCTAACCCCGGTCGATGGCAGATAAGGAAAACCCCCAACCATATGGGGTTTTCCAGGGCCATTGCTCCCTGAAACCTCTCTGAAGGGGCCAGGTTCTGGCGCTGGTCCCTGGTAGGTCTGAACTCCTTAGCTAATGTCCCGGTCTAACATAACACACATTAGCCCGATAAGCTCCAGGGAGCCGTAGGGGCTCCCCACAGAAAACTGATTTTTCTGTACCCATTTTAAATGTGTACGAAGTTGGTTGTGTACGAAATGGACTCTTAGGACCTCCAGTGAGAGGCAGCCATCTTGGAAAAAATTCCCACAATGCCCTAGGGCTGCTGGCTGGGTTAGTACTGAATGAGCAACCATGGGTTGCGCATGCGCCTCTGGCTCCCAAACACCTGTCTGACGCAGTGTTGAAAGATAACGCTCCGTAGGTGAAATTCAAACCTTATTGTTTGAAGAACATAAGGGTCATAATATTGGTGAAGCTAGGCGCAATAAGGACCAAACACGAAGGTCGGATGCAAGTGATACAGCACCTATGAGGATGATACAGCGAGCGTATCCAGTTGTAGCTCTGAGCGTCACCCTTGTAATATTATGCCATCTCTAATTTATTTAAATGATACACAGATGAATTCGCTTTCTGCGTTCAGTGATGATGCATCTGATACAAGTAGCATAGATGAACAGTGTTAGCGGCTTCCATGGTGGTATTTTCCATAGATATTTTCAAGAATACCCGAATCTCTTCCTGACTGACGGACACTCTTTGAGGCAAGCCGAATCTCTTCCTGTGTGGGACTATACAAAGCGATCTTTTCAAGACTACCTTACAAATTGATCTTTTCTTATAATCTTTTCAATACTACCTTATGCTTTACAAGCTTGGCTACATACTACCTACAAGTACTAAACCCAAGGGTGTATGTGAGTGCATTATTTGCAAGCACACAGAATGAAGAAACGGGAAGCGAAAATTTATCTGTACTTATTGCAACGTGAGCAAAGTCGTGCTGTGCATCATGGACTATTTCGTTGATTATTACTCACTTCCGAAGTACTGAGTGTGTAATACAGTGTGTTACTGTGTAAATAGTGTGTGAACTGTACATATTGTAATTTTAGTGAATTTTTAACAAATAATATTGCGACAATAAACATTTATTGTGGACACATTACTGACACATGTAATCACAGTTCCATGGAACATTATGAATGTTCTACTGTATACATATTGTAAAGGACACAAATATGCATCATATACAATAAAAAATACAAATAAAACCACATTGGAAATACATAGAACAAATAATTGAAAATATATTTGTGGCAACACCGGTGCTTGAATGGCCCGCGCTACCGTGTCTGGGCGATTCATGCACGGGCGACCAGGCCCTGATGACGTCACAGCGCACCTTGTCCACATCCTCACAGCCAAAGTAAGTGGACTTTGGTATTTATTTTTTACATAGACATGTTCAGGGAAGGGAATTTATCATTTTACGAAGAAAAAATAATTTTTTGGGTACACTTTATTTCATGCGCACCGGGGGAATTTCACAAACTCGGTGCAGCACGGTGGTTAAGAGTGTAAGACAGAAATTATGCAAAAAGACCATTTTCTGAGACTATTGTCATTAAAGTTTTGTTAAGGAAAAGACCGATTTTCATCAGAGTCCATTTGCAGACCAAAATTTACCAAAATTTGTAAATGCCCATTTTCAGACTCATTTTTATCAGAAGTTTCAATGCAGGTAATTAGATGTGCCTGTTAATTCTACATAACCAATCTATAAGAATTCCAAATCCCAAGAAGTTCTACACTTATCCTATATGCACTAATTACAATTGATATTACTTCCCAAGGGTACAGACATTATTCAAGACCACCAAAAGGTAACATGCAATATTGGCTTCGCAAATCAGGAGAAGCATGACATATAAGCCACCAAGAATGGAAGCGTAATACCCGTGACCGGGCGGCACAAACAGAAGTATTACACCCAGAAATCACAATAGCGTGATGCATCAAATGAACATATCCACAAGGGCAGTGATGAGGATTCGAACCAACGTCTTGAGAGGATCCCAGACGTGCCTTAATCGACTGTGCCATGACATGGTAAAAGAATTGCAACTGGGAGTTCATCTGCCCTCACATGGATCCTGCAGTCTCTCCGAGACACAAACCAGGGTATTACACAATTTCCTCGTGCACCCAGGCTCTTGTCAATAAGCTGTTCTACCTCTTCGCCCTTACTTTATTACACACACAAATCACAATAGTGTGATGCATCAAATGAACAAATCATTCATTTGTTCATTCGAGTGCAATGCTCTCACCCTGCATTCGAGCGCTATGCTTCTCACTCCGCATTCAAATGTTATGGTCTCACCCTGCATTCGAGCGCTATGCTCTTGCCCCACATTTGAGCTGTCTATCCCCAGCCTCGCTCAAGCTCTCTGCTCCAGGCCTTGTCTCCGCTACCACAACACGTCATTACTTTTTCAACATCCAGCTGCTGTAACCAAGACTATATTAAATAAACATAAAAAACACTAAACTCTTTGAGCCTTCACACCCAAACATGTATACATAAACCTACATTACAAACATATTCAGGGCATTCAAGGTCTACTATTCTTCAAAATCCCAACAGAAAATATAAGAACTACATAATTGCTGAAAGAATAGTAGAGAAAGCACTGAAGATGGACCTGTGAAAAGTATTTGCTGAAGTTACTGGATCAACCAGACTGTAAAGGCTATGTGGTCCAGTGAGCCACAAAGACAAACAGTCTTATAGGCCAGGCACTAACTAGAGAAGGCTGTCCCAAGTCAGGCTGTGATAAGAAAATTATCTAAATCAACATATAATTTAAAGATGAAATTTAAATTTCTGCAGGAGTTTTTGGATCAGCAAAGTTGTGATAACTATTTGGGAATACAGACTACTGTACTGAAAACAGGAATGGTTCATCAGGAATTGCAAGAGGGCTAGAGAATAAAGCACAAAAATATGGAATGAATATAGGAAGAGGCCAAACCCTCGAACATACCTGCAACACAAAGAAGAAACAATTACACTGCAGAGAGAAGAGAAGAGAAGACGAAAGAAATTTTGAGGAAGGGAAAGAAGAAAAATGTAAACAGAACCAGGCCTGTTAAAAGCAAATTGTTGGTAATGAATAACATTCAGAGGTTGAGAATGGGAAAGAGATTCATGGAAAATGAAAAGGAAATGTGTGAAACACCAAATGAACAGTTCCAGAGTGTGTGTTTGTGCAAGATAAAGTTTTCTGAGAACCAGACACAATATGAATTTTAGAGAATACCTAAAATACATAGAGGTGTCTTGAGACAAAGTGGAAAAAATGCTCAAAGAGCTAAGTAAGAACAAAGCAGTTGGCCCAGATGGAGTTTCACCATGGATTCTCAGAGAATGTGCATCTCACCTCAGCATTCCACTTCAATTGATTTTTCAGTCATCTTTGTGTGCAGATATATGAAAAAAGGATAACATAGTTCACACCTACGAAAATGGTAGCAGTAAAGACCCTCTATATTATAGATTTGCATTGTTGACAAGCATAGTAGTCAAAACAATGGAAAAATCATTAAAACCAAATCAGTAGAACACCCGGAGAGAAATATAATTATAAGACATTATGGTTTTCATAAGATCTTCATAAACTCATAAGACAGTATGATTTTTCATCAGGAAGATCCTGTGTAACAAATCTACTTAGTTTCTGTGACAGAACCACAGAGTTCCTACAGGAAAGAGATGGTTGGGTTCACTGCATTAATCAGGATTTAAATAATGCTTTAGACAGAGTCCATCAAGAGGTTGTTCTGAAAAATTATACATGCTGGAGGAGAGAGAGAGGGAGACTTCTGATATAGATGACAAATTTTCTGACAGAAAAATGAGGGCAGTAATGAGAATGAAATGAGAGAAACTTGTGGTCATAAAATAAGTATATACACAAAGCCCGCCCACTCACCCCATGCCAAGACAAACTACTTTACAAACCCAACTGTACCAACGTCACTGAGCATGACATAAATATGACCCATAAAGCTAAAGATATGGTTTGAAAGATATAGATAAAACCGTTTAAATTTTGAGATTCTAGTCATCAAATAACACACCAGGATGAAAGTCAGGGCGTATGTGAGCTAGCTTAGGTTAATGAACCTTGGAATGATGTGCTCTAATCTCGGGGTGAGTGGCAGGTTAGACCAGGAAGCCCAGCCAGTAGTAGTTGGTAAGAGCCCTCTTTGGCCGATACATATGATCACAAATGAGAATTTGGAAGCCTGGCACCAGGCTGGGCTCGGAGAATAGAACTATTACTCCCCGAGTAGTAGTTCTACTCACTCCAGGTACGCTCCAGGTATGGAAGGAATAAAAATTTTGTGAAAAAAAAAAAAAATTACTTTCATTTCTGGATGGGATTGAATATTCATTGGTGACCTCCTTGACACATTATGACCCCTGCATGGATGATTGAAAATTGTCTGTAGCACTGTGCCATATGTCCAAGAACACAGACTTTAAAAAAGCAGCAGCCAAATGTGAAAACTTAAAAATATTAAATTGTTTTTTACAGTAGGCATCCAGGGAAGGTTTATATTTAAAACATGCAGCACGCAATATGATGCAAAGCTGAAAGTCTCAAATTTACAGCCAAATACAGTCATTACAGTATTTTAGTTTGTGTGTTGGTGAAGCATTCAACAAAATTAAAAATAGTTGAAGAAATATAGCAAAACCATAAAATAGCCCTACAGGGGATATTTAGTGTAAAATCATAGGAGGAAAAGATAATTTTAATACCAAGTTTGGTAGGAAAATTATTATTAACTGTAAAAATAACTACTGTACAGATTATCAATACAGTACTTAATAAAAATGACTACTGAAACTTGAAACCAATAAGTGATTATTTACATATATTTTACATCACCTTTAACAGACATGTTAGATGTTGAGGTTATGATTGCTGCAGGAGATCCCTGGATATTCCAGTCTAACGCCTCAGAACAGTGAAACGTTTGATCGGACTCTTCATTGTCATCCCAACCTCCCTCACTCTCACTGCTGTAGCTAAGGTCATCACTGTTTGATGTTATTCCTGTCCACTCAAATTCTGAATGCTGGAAAGACATCATTACCAGTTATATAAATAAGGCTCATTAAGTATTTAGATGCCCGTTATATGTACATTAATGCATAATGCTTCAGATGCACTCAACAGTGAAAACTCAACTTCACGTATAAAATTATCATAAAGAAAAACCATAATCAAAAGTATATACAGTAAATCAAACTTTAATAGTACTGTATGACCCATACATTTTTCAAGAAACATTTCATTGTATTAAATTGCCATTGTAAGGGTTTTATATTACCGCCATATTAGATATATTTCACATTTAAACACGTTATTGGAATATATTTGAAGCGCTTCAGGAATATTTGTGGTTTTGTTCCATCCAGCAGTGAAGGCACTATAGTGCAGTTTTTGTATTCCCCCCAACAGCCAGACACTTACTAGCATTTGACCAGATACCAGCTACTTTAACATTGCATAGATTCTTTGCTAAATTAAGTCATAGGATAATTACCATAAGAAACCAATTCAGAAATATTTCAGATTTATAACCACTTTTAATATATACAACAAAAGTGGATGTATCGTGAATGCTCTTTGAAAAGATAGCATTATTCTTACTAAAACTGAGTTTAGACCTTTAATTAAATTTTGTACGCATACATGGCAAGAACATGACAAAATTTGTTTATTGAATTTAGGTTAAATTTTCATTAACTCTTCAATGGCACAACTATAGTACTTAAAAGCACTACATTGAGGTGCTCATATCTACAAATAGTTAACAAATCAAATGGGCCATAAAATCATTACATTAAAATAATTAAAACCCAAAAGGTACAAGTAATCAAACTGTAGAAGGAGGTAGTATTTAAAGGTTACCTTTGCTTTGGAATACTGAGGGGACGGGCTCTGTTCAGCATCACTTTCACAAGAAGAGTTGCATGAACTTCTCTGAGCAGCCACACCAGACATTTTATGAGGGGAGCGGCAACCAAGGTGATTTATATTGGCATCAGACACCTGTGGGTAAAGGCTCTAATATTAAAAGTATTTAGGGATTAGATTAAATTTAATCAATACATAATTTAATATTAATGGACAAAATCAGCTGTGAATGTAATGAAATGCCTATTTTGCTGTGTCCCTTTGTTATCTTCCCAAACATTCAACCTGGCTAGCTGACGTGTGTGGAAAATATCAACTATTGGTGAAAGCCATTAATAATCTCGTCTAAATCCAATTTATAATCTAAACTTCTTATGAGAAATAAATTCTCTGCTCATAAAAAAATTAATAAAAGAAACCATAAGATCATAAATGAATACTGTAGACACTCGTTAAACCGGAATCCGACCATCCGGAAAACACCCTTATCCGGCCAAAATCGTGGCCGGATAAAGTTATCCCACCATCCAGCCAAAGTGTCCATGGAAGCCAGACCAGAGTGTGTTTGGCCGGATAAAAAATCTGAGCCGGTTAACTTGCTGCCGATGTTACACTATCCGGACAGTCAGCCGGACAAGCGGTGAATTGTCCGGATCAGAAAGCCAGGCGGCGGGCCATACTGTATTAATCCCATACGGCTGTGGCTCTAGGCGCATGGTGTAGGAGGGGGGTTGGGTGGGCAGGGGGGTGTCGGGAGAGAGGGCGGAGCATTGGGAGGGACCGCCTGCGGGATAAGGGGAATGTGGAGGGGCCTACACACTACAGTACAGCAATTACCATTGATTTTAGAACAATTCATCGCATTCAGAAACAAAAGAAATAATTATGTAATAACAAATATACAAGTTTCCTAAAAACAATTTGCACAGGCTGAAGTTTGCTTAAAAAATATTGAGTTTTTTTCCATCTGGCAGCCTACGTAATGTGCCTGCTTGCCCCACATGGACCTGTCTAGGCCGGGTCAAGCCAAACAGCCCATGTGCTCCCGTCACTCGTGTTATACCATAGTGCCGCGCCATTAGTGAAATATTTTTTTAAATAACTTTTTGTTTCCATAGTAACTTTGAACATTTTTGGCCAAAACTATGTCTGGTAGCAGCATCAATTGTTCTGGAGGTGTTAAGAGGTAGAAGGTTACCCTAACAATTAAAGACAAGTTACGTGTTATATAACTTTGTGAAAATGGCCGGTCGACTTCAGGTGTTGCCAAGGAATTTAATATAGGGACTAGTACTGTTTCTGATATAAGGAAACAAAAAGACCAATACCTGAAATACATTTCAATCAGCGAGAGTGAAGGTGCAAGCACTAGCAGAGGGTGTGGTAAAAGAACTTTGAAAACTTCAACGCATGTACAGTTGGATGAGGCTGTGTACAAGTGGTTTGCTCAGCACCGCACAGTTGGTGTGACAATTTGCGGCCCAGAAATACAAAATGCTGCAAGCAGGTTTGCAAAAAGCCTTGGAATAAAGGATTTCCAAGCTAGTGAAGGGTGGGTTGCAAGGTTCAAAGGGAGGCACAATATTGTGAAGAGGAAAATTGTTGGTGAAAAATTGAGTGCAGATACAAGCAGTGTAGAACCATTTAAACATAAATTAAGAACATACATTTTGTCAAATAATTTATATTCTTATCAAATTTATAATGCTGATGAAACTGGTCTGTATTGGAGGAGTTTACCAGAAAAAACTCTAGCTATGAGGAGTGAGAGTTGTGTGCCAGGCCGTAAGGTCAACAAGGGCAGGCTGTCGGCCTTGATGTGTGCGAATGCCGAAGGCACAGACAATCACGTATGCAATTGTTGGCAAATCAAAGAAATCAAGAGCCTTGCATCATTGCTTGGACAGACTGCCAGTGAAATATTATAACTCAAAGAATGCATGGCTTACACAGGAGAGCTTTCTTTCCTGGTTTCATGATGTGTTCTGCAGGGAAGTTCATGACTATTAAGTTAAACTCAAAGTTAGGCCAAGCATTGTTCGGGCTTTGCTGTTGCTTGATAATGCGCCTGCCCACCCCAGAATTGACACGTTAACCTCACATGATGGCAAGATAACGTGTATGGCACTTCCTCCTAATACAACCCCTCTCATCCAGCCTATGGATCAGGGAGTTATCTGTGCCACAAAGAGGTTGTACACCAAAAAAATGCTCAACGAAGTTTTGGTGATTTTTTCCTCTTCTGGAAGATGTGGAACTGTGTGTGGATAACAGGGCTAAAAAAAACTTGAGAATTTGAAGAGCTTTACAATCAAGGAAGTCATCTATAACTGGGCCAAGGTGTGGAGTGAAGTAAAGGAATCGACTTTGAAGAATTCCTGGAAAAAACTCATGTCTACGGTCAGCAATGAGGAGGATAAGAAATGATTTTTGAAGGATTTACAGATGAAATCCATGGAATGTTCAGAAATGCTGGCAAAAACTTAGGAAGACAGGATGTGGTTGATTGGCTTGAAAAAGAAGCTAATGACCCAGGATATGGTGTGATGAGTGAAGACAAGATTCTCCAGTCTGTTATTACTGGTGAGGTCAACGTAGAGGAGGAGGATGAAGAAGGCAGTGAAGAACCAACACCACAGACAACAAAATACAGTTAGCTCATGTCTTCTGTTGCCCTGTTAATTTTTCATCCAATTGTGCTCATCCAGAAGTTGGAAACGTGTATCAGTACCTGAGGTGAACTAAAGAGCTGATCATACAACAGGCCAATGAACACAGAAGGCCAGCTAAACTTTATTCTTATATGGTAAGAAAAGCAAGCAAAGCGCCTTTAACCAGTGAGGTCTCACAGGCAAATCAAGCGCCTTTAACCAGTGAGGTCTCACAGGCAAATCAAGCGCCTTCATCAAGTGAGGCATCATAGGCTAGCCAAGCGCCTTCAACCAGTGAGACGTCACAGGCAAGCCAAGTGCCTTCAACCAGTGAGGCTTCAGCAGCTGGCAGTCAAAACTAACTTTGCTTAATGAACTGTACAGTAATTTTAAGTGTTAATTTTAGTGTTGTGTTAGTATAGGTTACGTAAATTGTCAAGAATTTTTACCTTCAAGATGTGTGTAGCATCAATCAAGAAGACGAACAACAACAAGGTAAGTTGAGGTTTCTAGTTGATTATTTGATAATTATATGTGGCAAAGCAATTCAAATTATGTTGTTTGTGGTATAAAAATAGTTGGAAATGGTCACTTTTGGACTCAGGTGAAAAAATACGTTAATCCGGAAAATGTGATAATCTGGCTGGGGGTCCTTTACATATTGTCTGGATTAGCGAGTGGAGACAGTAATTCAGGCCCACATTAGTAGCAGCCCTTAGCTCAAGACAACTCACCATGATGGTCAAATGAACTACTGTGTATGCTTTTAATAGCAATATAAAAATGCCTATCAATAAAAAACCAGGATTGAATGTATTGAAACGCCAATTTCTGAGCGAGCCTCGGAGGCTCCCTGAAACTATCTGAACTCATATGTGCTATATTAGTTTGGGTCATCATTCACAGGAGACCTTATGCCTACAGGGCCCACAAGCCAGACCCAGGCTCCCTCAGATAGGTGCAGGGAGCAATGGCCTATGAACACTTTACATTTAAAGTTTGTCATAATTGCCATCGACTGGAGAGAGCACCCAGAAAAATAAAGGTAACTGCATCTAACTCAAATTCATACAGGGGAAGGAGGGTACGAAAACCAACTCCCCTGCAACAATAACTCCTGCCCTGAAGGAACAAGGGCCCAAGCAGTCAAAAGGAGTCCAAGCAGACTCCCGCCCCCCCGAGCCCCAGAAACTCCAGATACAGGTCCCGGGGCAGAGGCCTCATCCACACCCACCATGCCTGAAGAAAAGGCAGAGTTCACAAGAAAATCTTTAAAGTATGGAGTCTGCCAAGTTGACCCAGAAGCCCCAACGGGAAAATAGAGCTTAATCACCTCTGCGCCCGAATCAGAAGAGGCAGCCCCCGAAGCCACCAGAGCTAAACCCCGCTCCGACTCCGAAACCCTCAGATGTTTGGGAGCCGGAAGCAGAGGGGAGAGGAGCAAGGTGAACCACACCCACCTGGGAAGGAAGTGGGGGGCGTGAATGGAACCAAGGTCGAAGCGACCAATGCCTCCAAATCTCACTCCCTAAAACCCAAGTGGGGAAGCTCTGGGATCTCCACCAGGGTAACCAACTCGGCTCGTTGCAATAAGGAGAATCGAGCATGCAATGCAGCAACCGTCTGACCCCCAAGATCATCAGACAGGGAATGGGTAAATTGAAGCACAAGCAGGGAACAAGTCCTGCAAGACTTCGGGTTGTAGGTGACACCGACCCAACAGGCAGAATGATGGAGGCAGTACAGATGATTGTCTCCCTGAGGCAGGGGCAACGAAAAACCTTTTAACATTGCACAAGGCGAGAGAGGACTTTTGAATATACATTCATGGTACCCCCGAGTCCACTGGGGTTTTCCAGGGCCCAAAGGGTGAGTAAGCCCTACGGGAAGCCCAGGCACTGGAGCTAGCCAAGACATTAGAATCCTGTCTGTCAGCAGGTTAACTGACCACCAGAAGCAGCTGTGAAACCTCTGGGGCAACACAGGAGGACCATCAACACAACCTAGGCTTGCATAATAAGAAGCTAGGCAGACCACCTCCAATAACAAAAAGCAAAAACACTAGAAAAAAAAAAAAAACGGGGTACCTCAACGTACCCCAAGCAACAAAGTCCTCAAACAAAAGTACTTCCCGAACGCCCAAGGGAAGATAACTCTGAAATGCAACGGTAGGACTTACAGAGCACCTAGGGAAGGTCACACTTGGTGCATGTTGCTCCGTGTACACAAAAACACCTCGCCACCACACCACACACACACACACACACACACACACACACACACACACACACACACACACACACACACACTGCTGGTACAGCCACAGAGGGCAAAATCCAGAACAAGATATCGAGGCTAGAGGTGACCAAGCTGACCGCGAGCACATCAGTTCAAGAATTGAGGTGGTGGGCTGCTGGCTCACTTGAAACGGCTCCCCCTCTCCCCGATGTAGCGTTAACAAGCAGGAGTGCTAGTTGGATGAAGTGTTGCTGGTTTATTTCTTTATGGAGGAGTTCTTTTCCTCTTTTTGGACGTCGGTCGATATTTTCACCAAATTGTGGTGTGTTTTGTTTCGCCTATCTTTCTGGGTGCTTCTCTGGTCGATGGCAATTACGACATACTTTAAATTTAAAGTGCTTGTAGGCCATTGCTCCCTGCGCCTCTCTGAGTGAGCTAGGTTCTGGCTAGTGGTTCACAGTAGGCGTAAGGACTCTTGTGACTGATGACCCTAAACTAAAATAGCACATATCAGTTTGGATAGCTTCAGGGAGACCACTGGGCTCCCCACAGAAAAAGTCCCAAAGAACAGTAACCATGCTTAGCTCAAAAAACAGTGCCCTTCCTTGCAGAGGAATAGTGTCAAGAGGCAGGCAGGCTGGACCCCAGGATGACCTCAGCTGCCACTTGGTAGTTCGCTTATCTACTAGCACATGGTTTCTTGATGCTGGATACTACTGTTCCCTTATTTCCATCTTTTCTCTCTCTAATCAAGACACATAGTTTGTTTTACTTTGTCTATGCTTTCTGGACAGTTTTACTATGTTTTGGGGCAATCTTAGAACCTCATGCTCCCTTCACCACCACAAGCACACCAGATTCTGGACCTGGTGATTGGTAGACGTGTGCAAGTCCAGAGATTAGTTTTCTTGATAATTATATAGTACCAGAGCCAATGCACCAGGGAGCAATTAAGGACTAGCAAAGAAAATTATGCAGCCTAAAAAAAATAAAACTCTTAAAAAGATATTTACATCAGCAGACACACAAAGGCTTAAGCATTCTTTAGAAAACTCATTATTTCAAGTCATACCTGATCAGTCATACAGGGACAATGGTGTCGTTTAAAAGCTTGGTTGATGTTCCAACTGTCTGTGTCTGTTGTTGGCATTTCTAAATCCCCCATTCCACTTTCTTCTTCTCCATCACTCACACCATCAATGTCTTGTCTTCTAGATTCTGGAAGCCGTAGATGATGATGCATGCCACAATTCTGAACATGATTTTTTTTGCCCTCAGTCATACCAATAGAATGTAGGTTTTTTTCTTCTTTAAGGTGTGCTCTATTCTGACAATTTCTGATTTGTTCTTTGTCATGGTATTCATCTGAAAGCTCTGTAGAATTGACAATCATTGTAATTTCTTCACTGTCAGAATTACTAGCACAGTTGAGAATGGGCAGTCTGTTTTCTTCCAATTTTTCCAGAAATGTTCGACTAGCTTCAGCGCTACCAATTACTGGGCTTCTATCACTTGATGAGGTGGTGGTGGTGGAACTTGGTCTTTCACCTTGTTTTTCTCTTAAATCATTAAAAGACTGGAAAATAATAATTTTGGGCCTGCCATTTGAGTCCACACGTGGCGATACATTGTTCTCAGAAGCAGAGCGTGGCCGTAATGTATAGGTTTCTTCACACCTTGGTTCCTCTGAATGAGATCTGAAACAAATAGTACATTACAATAGCAAATATATATCTATAAAATAGAATGTGTGTGTGAGGTTGGGGGCCAGATGCTTGGGGTTAGTCTCACCAAACTTTTCAATGTGAATCATGTGGGTAAAGAAGTGTCAAAGGAAGTCAGTGTTGGTCCAAGTGAAATGCTTTAAGAAATACTGGCATGTATAGAGAACCCTGTGCGATTCTCATGAAAACTAAATTTTGATGTGTTCCCATTTAGTTGTTCAGCTGTTAAAAGTGCTTTCTAATAATCATTTTCTGGGAGGGGGAGATTAGAGGGTAGGAAAAGGGGAAAAGGATGAGGGAGGGAAGCAGGATGGAAGAGGAGGGGACAATGGCAGGAAGAGACCTAGGCACAACCAGATACCCCTTCTAGTGATACTATACATGTTTTTACATAAACATAATATATAATGAATTTATGTGCAAATAAATAACAATTATGTACAAACAAATATGAAAAATTTAAGGTGTTCTGTGTAAGGGGTCACCCAGGATTCAAGATCCTGTTTAAACAAGATTAAATCCTGTGGGTTAGCCAAATCCTCTACTTTGAAACGAGTTGCCAAAAATGGTCCTCATTTGTTTTATTAAGGCCCCTGCCCCTAGAAGGAAAGTGAGGCACTCAGGATTTCTTTTTCAAGATTGGGGATGGTTACTGGAGGCCTAAGGCCACATTGGCTGAGGAAGCAAATGTAAGCCTTTTATATGTGCTGGATTATTTTAAATCTCTAAACCATATATATATATACAGTACCTGAATATGATGTGTGTCCTCCAAGCAGTTACACCAAATCATATACTGTATATACAGAGGAACCTCGGTTAACGAATTTAATCCATTCTGGCACCGAGCTCGTCATGTGAAATGCTCGTCTTGCAAAACGAATTTCCCCATTTAAAATAACGGAAATACAATTAATCCGTTCCACCCCCAAAAAACATCAACATGAAATTTTATAATGTAATTATAATACCTGTAATTATTATAAATGTTTTGCTTTACTGTTTCAATTATACTTTACCTTATGAAGAGTTGTTGTTGGCTTGAAGGAGACGATGGGGAGGTGGAGAGGGGTTACGGTGTAGAAGGAAAATCCACTTCTGAGTCAGGCGGACTCTCTTGTGAATTTGGGGGAGTGGAGGTAATGGGGAGGGGTGTGGGATGGGGGAATGGAGATAGCAGGGAATGGGGGGGGGATTGCTTCTCTTGCCTCTCTGAGGGGGCCAGGTTCTGGCTCGTGGTCCCCGGTAGGCCCAAAGAACTCCATACACATGACTGATGCCAAAGTCTGACATTATTATATCAGCCTGTATAGCTCCGGAGAGCCAACGGGGCTCCCCCCAGAAAATAAGCTCAGTAGCACTAGAAAAATGCTCAAACCGCATACCCCTAAGAAAAAAAGAGGAAGAGATGCAGACTGGAACGGGAACGTCGTTCCCTCTATAGGCGAAGAAAACGAATCGCGGAACAACTTGAGAGTCACATCCTTTCTCAAGAACGGCGAAGAAGATTAGGTAGAGAAATAGAAACAATTGAACTAAAGCTACAAGAATCATACAAAACTCAGAAGAAGCAAAGAGAGGAAAAGGTCAACAGTGAAATAGAGAGAAATCCAAAATATTTCTTCTCCGATGCAAAATCAAGATAAAAAACCACATCTAGTATCTGGCCCCTGCGAAAGGGAGATGAAACTTTCACTGATGACAACAAAGAAATGAGCAAGATACTGAGGAAACAGTATGACTGTTTTCAGCGAGCCACTAAACTCACTAAAGATTGATAACCCAAATGAATTTTTCATGGATATGATACCAATATCAAACCATATATCAGACATCACCTTATCCCCACTGGATTTTGAGGAAGCCATAAACAGTATGCCTATGCACTCTGCTCCAGGTCTTGATTCTTGGAGCTCCATATTCATCAAGAACAGTAAAAAAACCACTATCACAGGCCCTTCACATTCTTTGGAGACAAAGCCTAGATACTGGCATTATTCCTGACATACTAAAAAGAGTAGAAATAGCACCACTCCATAAAGGAGGAAATAAGGCAAAGGCAAAAAATTACAGACTGATAGCACTAACATCTCGCATCATAAAAATCTTTGAGAGAGTGCTAAGAAGTAAGATCACAAAATACATACACGGAATCACAGCATCTCCATAACCCCTGACAACATGGTTTCAGAACAGGGCACTCTTGCCTGTCACAGTTGCTGGACCACTATGACATGGCACTAAATGCCATAGAAGACAACCAAAACGTTGAAGTAGTTTACACTGATTTTGCAAAAGCCTTTGACAAATGTGACCACGGCATTATTGCACATAAAATGTGTTCAAAAGGAATTACCAGAAAAATAGGCAGATGTATCTATAATTTCCTGATTAACAGAAAACAATGTGAAATAGTCAACAAAATAAAATCCCGTCCATCAACCGTGAAGAGCTCAGTCCCCCAGGGTACTGTGCTTGCTCCAGTAAATTTCTCATCTTCATATCGGACATAGACAAGGACACATTCTATAGTACTGTATCTTCCTTTGCAGTTGACACTAGGATTTCCACGAGAGTAGATAACATAAAGGACACGGCAAACCTCCAATCAGATGTAAATCGAGTCTTTCTATGGGGTACAGAAAATAATATAGTGTTTAACGTAGATAAGTTCCAGCTCATGCACTAGGGAAGAAATGAAAATATAAAAACGGAAACCACGTAATAAACGCAGTCAAATCATAACATAGAACGAAAAGGCAATGTAAAGGTTTTGGGTGTACTCGTGTCGGAAGACCTTAACTTCAAAGAACATAAAAAAGTAGCCGTCACAACTGCAAGAAAAATGACAGGTTGGATAACAAGAACCTTTCACACTAGAGATGCTATACCAATGATGATACTTTTCAAGATGCTAGTGCTCTCTAGAGTGGAGTACTGCTGCACAATGACAGCCCCTTTCAAAGCTGGAGAAATTGCTGACCTGGAGAGCGTGCAGAGATCCTTTACTGCTAGAATCCACTCGGTAAAATATCTAAACTACTGGGACCTACTAAAGAGCCTAAATCTGTATTCTCTTGAGCACAGGCGGGAGAGATGCATAATAATCTATACGTAGAAAATATTAGAGGGGCTGGTCCCAAACCTGCACACAGAAATAACACCACACGAGACCAGGAGGCATGGCAGGATGTGCAGAATACCCACATTTGAAAAGCAGAGGTGCAACAGGTACTCTGAGAGAGAACTCTATCAACATCAGAGGCCCGAGACTGTTCAACGCTCTTCCACTACACATAAGGGGCATAACTGGCCGACCACTCAGTGTTCATAGAGAACTGGATAAGCACCTCCAAAGAATACCTGATCAACCAGGCTGTGATTCATACATCAGGCTGCGAGCAGCTGCGTCAAACAGCCTGGTTGACCAGTCCAGCAACGAGGAGGCTTGGTCCATGACTAGGCCGCGGGGACGCTAAGCCCCAGAAATTCTCCAAGGTAAAATCAGAGGCCCGAGACTATCCAACATGCTTCCACTACACATAAGGGGCATAACTGGCCGTCCCCTCACAGTGTTCAAGAGAGAACACGATAAACACCTCCAAAGGATACATGATCAACCAGGCTATGATTCATATGTTAGGATGCGAGCAGCTGTGTCCAACAGCCTGGGTGACCAGTTCAGCAACTAGGAGGCCTGGTCAAGGACAGGGCAGTGGGGACGTTGAGCCCCCGAAATTATTGCAAGGTAACTGCAAGGTACCCTTGACTTTATGGAAAAGGTGGTAATTCAATTGTATAAATCTCAGGTGCGCCCACACTTGGGTTCTTGTATCAAAGCGAGGAAACCTCATCTTCAGAAGGACATAGCTGCTCTCGAAGAAGTACAACATCGGGCTGTCAATTCCTGTACCAATAATGGTTCAGGGCCTCAGGGCTAACACTGCAAACCAGGCATGGCAGGGTAGATCTCATCAAAACTGAAAATACTGAATAACTTGGAGGATGTTGATCCAGACAATTTCTTCAAAAGGTCAGATGCGACACAGACAAGGAGCAATGGTTTCAAGCTCAACAAGCCTCAATGTAGGATTGAAAACATGAGATGCTTTTTCACCCAAATGTTTATAAACCCTTGGAACTGCCTACCAGCCAAAGACATAAATGCCAAAACTGTAAAATTTTCAAATCCAGCTGTAAACAATCATCAGGGCAAATGGGAGAACTTTGATAAGCTGCCCGGTTATGTCCTCGTTGAGGCCACTAGTGTGTTAGTGGCTCAGGTAAATTCAGCTACATTTGTCATGAGCTTTAATAATTTTATGATCTGTAAGTGAAAATATCGATGGAGCAGGATGACTAGGATGCGAGCTTCAGTCAAATTTGCCATGCATGGTTGCTGATTTTGATACGCCTAACATGCAGCTAAGGCAATGTATGCATGATTTTTTATCAAGATGAAGTCTGTTTACCGGAGGCCTGAAAAAGCATATACGAGTCCTATGTACATGTGGGAGTTTCAAGTGATGTGCATTATGGATCAAACATCAGGGAATGTGATGTACAGTACAATGGTTAAGGGTTAAAATCAAAGAACTTCAACTAAAATACATACTGCAATTTTTTATATAAAACATACCTATAAGTTTTGAATGGAGACTTGGTTTTCATTGAATTCATGTTCTTCTTGGTAAAATGTGTGTGGAGTCTTGATCCATCACGCTTACAGCTGCTACAGAACACGCACTTGCCTAAAATAAAAGAAACTGAAGTTATGGAGAAGATTATCACGTACAGTATATCTGTATGTAAATTTTCTTTTATGAAAAATCATGTTTATTTTTCCCATTATTTAAAGCAAAGTTGTAAAGTTCAGTACAGTACAGTGTACCTGCTTAAATATGAACTGGGGATCACTCTGAACAAATTTTTTCCCACTCCTAAAAAATTCATTAAATGTACTTAAACACCAATTTCTGGGCGAGCCCAGGTGGCTCCTTGAAGCTACTATCATATACTAGGTCGCATCAGCCACAGAGTCCTGTAGACCTACCAGGGACCAGTGCCAGAACCTGGCCCACTTCACAGAGGCACGGGGAGCTTGACATTTAAGTACTTATTTATGTCACCACTGGGTAAGGCCCCTAGAAAGTCAACGAGACAAAACAAACCACTGCTGGCATCAAACAAGACCACAGGCCTTTAAAACTGCCAACAAGAGTGCCCCCCCCCCCCAATGACGTAAATGATTGATATCTCTTGAAACTAGCAAAAGTCAGTTTGCCCTATCTCCCCCACTCATTTGGTGGGGGAGAATCGCTAAAGCTCCTGGTCAGCCAACTACCCAACCCGTTCTATGTAACCAACCCCCCAAGGAGGGAGGAAGGAAGGGGTGTCAGAGACTCACTAGGTCTCATCAACCAGAAACTGGCATTTCATTACATTCAATGCTGGTTTTCTGGGGAAGCCCCTTGTGGCTCCCAGGAGACCTGGTTAGAGACCGGGCCACAGAGCTATTGATCCCTGGGACCTCCAGAAGGTAGGAACCTCCAAAAGGTAGCCTCCCATAAGCTAACTACCCACAGAGAAGGAAAAACAAATGTGCATTTACCAAGTAGGAGGGAGCATTGCAGGAACTAAGACAAGGATGAGACATCCCGGCTAAAAGAGACGGCCCAAATGCTCCAGCGCCACACATGGGCGCTGGAGCCCTGGCACATCAACAAGATACCGGGCCGCCAGAACCCTGATTGACCTCAGCTGTCAAGAACTTGGCAGCTGAGTGGACAGCGCTTCGGATTCGTAGTCTTAAGGTTCCGGGTTTGATCCCCAGTGGTTATCTTGAGGTTATCTTGAGATGATTTCGGGGCTTTTTTTTAGTGTCCCCGCGGCCCGGTCCTCGACCAGGCCTCCACCCCCAGGAAGCAGCCCGTGACAGCTGACTAACACCCAGGTACCTATTTACTGCTAGGTAACAGGGGCATAGGGTGAAAGAAACTCTGCCCATTGTTTCTCGCCGGCGCCTGGGATCGAACCCAGGACCACAGGATCACAAGTCCAGCGTGCTGTCCGCTCGGCCGACCGGCTCCCCGTTTCCGAGGTGCCGGAAACAAATGGGCAGAGTTTCTATCACCACTGATACCCCTGTTACCTAGCAATAAATAGGTACCTGGAGTTAGACGGGTACTACGGGCTGCTTCCTGGGAGATGTGTAACAAAAAGGAGGCCTGGTCGAGGACCAGGCCGCGGGGACGCTAAGCCCTGAAATCATCTCAAGATAACCTGAGCTCCGAAACTCCAGACCTGAATATCAGCCCTGGACATCCTGTATTTGCGAACACAGTTGAAAGAGTGGCATATTTCCAAACATCATGGGAATGAGGGTAGACCATAGGTTGGCTAGAATTAATAACACTGCAGATGACCTGAGAAAGACGAGCTTTGAAACAGAGGACTAAGGTGAGAGCACCAACCCACAAAGGATCCACCTATGCAAAATCGGTGGTATGAAGGTAGCGGCAGAGCCGCTACCAGACAACACATGATGCACTCCCAGCTGAATGAACCAAGCATCAACGACTAAAGGACACTTTCGGAAGCCAAGCGACTCATTCTTCGCCAGAAAAGAAGGAGCCAGCTGCAGATGAACAAACCGTACACCAGGGTCAAAAGAATAAAATCCGAGGAGAGCACGATGTAATGACTGGTATGTAAAGTTTAGCATTTATTGTTATAAAGCTAAACCTACAGTCTTAGTTAAAATATCAGTTAGTTTTATTTTTGTTAATTTTATATTTCAACTGTCAGCATTTGCAAGTAAAATATAATGAAATGTATGTTAGTAAAGTTTATACGTTTTGTGTGCCTAAAGTTTTTCTCGCACATTTTCGTGAGGGTGGCATCTCTACACCCCACAAGGACAGAGAGGGCTGGGACTTAACTTACTGAGGTTGTGTTGGATGTGCTCATAAGGCACCCACCTCACTGTTGTGAGGTTGTTTACCTTGGCTCCTTCAATGTGACTTGAGTACAGTAGTCGATCTGGCGAGCGAGAAATAATTTCACATTGTATTATGTCCCATTCCCTGTGTTTTTAATTAATAAATGTAATGCACACACTGTTGGTTTGTTTAAGTCTGCAAATTCAAAATAATTGTGCCGGTCACCGAGTGTTTCCTCTCGTGATCGAGGTGTATCTAGAATTTACATGTGTTTAATATTTACATTTTTAATTAATGTACACATACAGTAAGTGAGGAAGCGAGGATGTTCTATTAATTTATAGTATTGCATGTATATTAGTATAAATAGCATCCATTCAATCACATTCCCCTCCTCACAGTAAAATTTGCCCACCCTACAACAGGAGGCAAGAGAAACAAAACATTACGACTAGAAGAGACAATCATGAACTGAAGGGGACACCGCAAATTGAGCAAAAGAAAGAAGTAAGAGAACACAGTTCAGAGACCAAGCAGGCTCAGGCAGCACAAGAGCAGGCCAGAGCTGAAACAAAACACGAGACAGCTTGCGAAACATAACCGAGGTACAGTAATATCGACTCTGAACTCAAGCTGCAGAAGCTCCGCCAGTGCCACATGATAGGAAGGGACAGAATTCGGAATTAGATGCCAACTGTGAAAAAGCCATTACAGAAAGGAGAACACCACATGCTCCAAAACTGAAGTACAGCGATGAAGAGAAAGGGAGAGGCAAAAATTGTATCAGGAATCCTCATACTTTATCAGCGAAGATCACTGGCTGGACAACATCTACAAAGCCATCAGATTGCCTCAGAGATACTAATAAATACTGTCACGAAATTATCCTTCATAGTCACGTAACCTGTTTCTTCCATACATCTTCACCGATTATATCTATGTTATGGTGAAGAAAATTCAAGAACTGTATTATTATTATTACAGAAGTAATATTACTGTAGCACTTTAATGTCCAGGCTTACACATCACCGCATTGAGTATAAGAATACCCACAAGACAAAAACACCACTTGGTGCAAAAGGAAAACACCAGAGACAAAGTAGCAGAGGTGACCATGCACGGTTGCAACCCATCCTCCGAATTGGCAGTATGGTTTTAAACTAAGTGTAATAAGTACATTTCCTTACTGTCATACATAGTACATAAGTGCACTTATGGGGCTGTTACATTTACCTCTCCATTTATTCTCCTCGTTTTCTGTTAACACTCAGAATTTTAGGATGAAGTTTTCAAGTTCAATTCGCTATACATGAATTTTTAGTATCAGAGATTTACAATAGAGATTTTATACAAAATTTGAAAATATCCAGAGTTACTTTACAATTTGTTGATATATTTTAGTTTTATTTTATTAGTTTTATAAAACTGTAATATCAATATAGCTATAGGTTAAGTAATAATTGTAATTAAGAAGCAATAAAATGCTTATCTTCAAACACTAAGAAGGTTAGGTTAGGTTGTGGTTTTCTATTCAACTTTTCAGGTAAACTCAAATATTCACAATATATTTGATAGTACGGTTTAATACTAAGTGAAAATAAGTACAATTCCTTACTGCTATGAAAAGTACATAATTGCACTTGTGATGTTACATCTACCTCCCCATTTCTGGAGGGGGGCTGCCACGCACACACTACACACATCAGCATAAAACTGAGGATGTTGTTACTGGCTGACTATGGGCTACAAGTCAACAAGTGGGGAAGTTGAACGAATGAGCTGGCGCTAATTTCAAAACCTTCTGATCGTTTGTTTATACAGTATTGTTACTTGGACTGGACGGTAGAGCAAAAGTCTCGCTTCTTGCAGGTCAACATTCAATTCCCAACCATCCAAGTGGATGGGCACCACTCCTTTCCTCCATCCCACCCCAAATCCTTATCTTGATCCCTCCCAAGTGCTATATCATAATGACTGAGCACTTCCCCCTGAAAGTTCCCTTCTCTTGTTTACATTGTTGGGAGAGTTCTTCTGTTGGCTCTCAAGGCTTGTCTTTTCTAAAGCAAGCTGTGGTGTTTCATCTCTAACTTTCTGGGTGCCTTTCCTGGTGGTGGAACAATAAACAAATAAATGCCACTGCTCCCAGTGGCACTTATTTCAGAACGTGGTCCCTCCTCTGTGAGTGGACCACTTTCCGACTTTTGGTCCCTGGTAGGCCATTTAGAACTCTGAGGCTGATGCGACCTAGTTGTTAGCACATTATCAGTGATAGTAGCTTAGCTGCAAGGAGCCCCAAGGGGCTCCCCCGGAAAAGATTTTCTTTCTGGAGTTTGTTATACTGCCTATAGCACCAGCGTCTATAACTGTGCAGCTTTGTGATCAGCCCATGTGTTTGCAAACATATAATAATTGGCTTGTACACAATGCTGTCATATATTGGTTGGGCTGTGGTCAGCATGGCAGCAGCCAATCCTAAATGTCATTCCAAATACCTAAAGCAGTAAATATGGCATATGACCTTAACACTATGTGACAAGTAATTTGCACATTATGGTTATTCATAATTTGGTTCCTGGTCGTATTTCCAACAATGAGTGATGGAGACATTTCAACAGCAGCAGCCAAGTTTCAGAAGATTTATTCAGATGACATGAAGCCTGAATTTATGCCAGAAATTCTTCACTTCAGGAACTTTGTTGGGAAGTTTGATGAATTGAGGCACAAGCATGAAACACACTAAGCTTCTGATATCTATACAGTGCTCTTGTAGTAAGATTAAATTCTTTATTCCCTAATGTAAAATTTTGCAGTGCCCCACAGTATCTGTAGCCCATAGGCCTACAAAATCTTAATCTAAGCCTGCAAATGAACAAGGTTTAGTTCCACATAATTAAAAATGCTTGCATGTAATCTTTAAATTAGAATTAAAATTTAAACAAGTCGAATATGCGCTACAAAATAATCATTTCATGCACTCACCTCTTCCAGAAAGGGAGGAACTTCTGCGCAGTGGTCTCAGTCTCCTACTGGAACGAACTGCCATAGGAATGTTGCTGTGATTTGGAGAAGACATTCCACTGTGCCGTGTACACACAATTTGGGAGTGGATAACACTTAAGACCATCAGCACAACCGCTGGCACCATCACCTCAAACACTGGCACTTCCTGAGATTACAAGTTCATACAAATGTAAGACATATTATACTATTCTCTCATCTTTTAAGTAAGTTACAATATTTATGGTGTTTATTTATCCATTTTTCACTGAAATATATCCAAAATATTAATATCACTATTCTAAAAGACCAGCATGAAGCTATGTTTAGCACCCCAATAAACAAAATGAAAGTTGAAGATCCAGACAGCTTCTTAGCCCCTGACAATAAAACTGATTAACACAAGCACAGCAGATCAGAAAGATAAATTTACAAAATGCCTATGCACTCGGCCCCAGGTCATAACTTCTTGAATTCCAGATTCATAAAGAAATGTAGAGCACCACTAGCCAGCACTTGGTATAGCATGGAGAAAAAGCTTTGATACAGGCAAGATACCAGAAGTACTTAAATCAGCAGATATAGCTCCACTGAACAAAGGAGGTAGTAAAGTTTTGACTAAAAACTATAGACTATAGTCATATAGTCACTATATAGACTACAGTCACACTATCATCACATACAATAAATGTCTATAAAAGAGCGATTAGGAATCAAATATCCAATTTTTTTGGAAAACAATGAACTTTACAACCCAGGTTAACATAGATTTAGAGTGGGAAGATCCTATCTTTCACAGTTACTCAACCACTATGACAAAATGGAAGCATTAGAAGACGACTAAATGCAGTTGTTGTATACAGTACTTTAACTTTGCAAAGGTATTTGATAAGTGTGTGACCATGAAGTGGAATAACCATGTACTAGTATTTTTGTTTATATCTGATATGAGAATGAGAAAAAGCAGTGGTGCAAGGCTTGTGCCCAACAGTACAGAGCTTTTTACTGTGGTTGGACTTGTTTTGTTTGATTGTTACTCTTTGCATGCTGTTTGACAGGAAATTGAATATGCATTGCCCTACTCTACGTGTTATTCCAGTTGAATATCCCTGACAACAAAACCCTCAGGTGTTTGGGAGCCAGAAGCAGAAAGGGGGGGGAAGGAGAACGGTGAACCACACCGACAAGGGAAGGACGAAGGGACGCGGACGGAACCAAGGCCGAAGCGACCAACACCCCCAAGTCCGGGTCCCTATAACCAAAATGGGGCAGCCCCAATTCATTCGACCGGGCTACCAACCGTGTACGTTGCAGCAACCTAAACCTATCATGAAACGCGCGAAACGCTTGACTACTAACCTCAGCCGTAGCAGTATGGGTAAATTGGAGCACGAGCAGAGAACAAGTCTCGCAAAACTCCGAGTCACAGGTGTCATCGACCCAACAAGCAGCATGACAGAGGCAATACAGGTGATCGTGACCCCTGAGACAAGAGCAACGAGCAACTTTCAAACTCGCACAAGGCAAGACGGGACTCAGAAGACTCGTCCATTGTAGTCAACAAAGTCCCAACGGGGTTTTCCAGGGCCCGCAAGGGGATTGTCCCCCTACTGGAAGCCAGTTGAATCCCCATAATTGACCTGGGCAAACTGACCCCAGTGAGGTGAGCAACCCCGGAGACCCACAGGAGAACTGCCTGACTGAACCTAAGTAACACCTAATATGAACTGCAGCAGCCTCCCAATGGGCAAGAAGGCAAACTAAAGATTGAAAGAGAACTCCAAGGAAGCACCACAACCCAGGGGACCAGAAAGAGTCACGGCCGCTGCGATTATGCAAGCTGGGCAGCCCAACATGCCCCAGCCAGCAACTAACCACTCCCTACCCAGGGCCAAACAAAAGTACCGAGACCTAAGCCGACCCCAAGGGCAAGGTAGCAAACCTAGCAGTCACTACCCCTATGGGAATGGGGATCTGAAGGACCCAGAGAAGGAAACTCTGAACACCAAGGGGTGTATTCACAGGGTGCTTAGGGAAAGGCGCCTTAAGCACATGCAGCCCTTGGTATGAACTCCTGACCACCACCACCACCACCACCCACCCACCCACACCCACCCACACACACCCCCACACCCCCACACACACCCCCACCCCCCCCCACCCACACCCACACCCACACCCACACACCCACACCCACACCCACACACCCACACCCCCACACCCACACCCCCACACACACACACCCCCACACACACACACACCCCCACACACACACACCCCCACACACACACACCCCCACACACACACACCCCCACACACACACACCCCCACACACACACACCCCACACACACACACCCCCACACACACACACCCCCCACACACACACACCCCCACACACACACACCCCCACACACACACCCCCCCACACACACACCCCCACACACACACACCCCCACACACACACACCCCCACACACACACACCCCCCACACACACACACCCCCACACACACACACCCACACACACACACACCCCCACACACACCCCCCCCCCACACACACACACACACACACACACACACACACACACACACACACACACACACACACACACACACACACACACACACACACACAAAGAAACTGGAGAAGGTTCAGAGGTTTGCGACGAGGCTTGTCCCAGAGCTACGAGGGATGGGATATGAAGAGCGGCTGAAGGAACTGAACCTTACGACACTAGAGAAAAGAAGGGAGAGAGGAGATATGATAGGGACATATAAAATACTCAGGGGAATTGACAAAGTGGAAATAGATGAAATGTTCACACGTAATAATAACAGAACGAGGGGGCATGGGTGGAAACTGGAAACTCAGATGAGTCACAGAGATGTTAGGAAGTTTTCTTTTAGCGTGAGAGTAGTAGAAAAATGGAATGCACTTGGGGAACAGGTTGTGGAAGCAAATACTATTCATACTTTTAAAACTAGGTATGATAGGGAAATGGGACAGGAGTCATTGCTGTAAACAACCGATAGCTAGAAAGGCGGGATCCAAGAGTCAATGCTCGATCCTGCAAGCACATATAGGTGAGTACATATAGGTGAGTACACACACACACACACACACACACACACAAGGAACACCAGCAGGGTGAAGCCAATCAGGTAATCGAGGCCAGAGCAGACGTCCACTCCGTATAGTTTCAGCCGGCAAACTGATGGTCCGGCTGCCAGCTCGATGGGTTGGGACTAGGACTTCCCACCTCCTGCCTGGGGGCCTGACAGGGGCGTGACGGCTGAGTGGACAGCGCTCAATATTCGTAGTCCTGAGGTTCTGGGTTCGATCCCTGGCGGAGGCGGAAACAAAGGGGCAGAGTTCCTTTCACCCTGAGGCTCCAGTTCACCTAGCAGTAAAGAGGTACCTGAGAGATAACCAGCTGCTACAGGCTGCGTCCTGGGGGTGTGTAACAAAAAGGGGGTCTGGTCGAGGACTGGGCCGCGGGGACGCTAAGCCCCGAAATCATCTCAGGATAACCTCCTGGGGGGGGGGGGGGGGGGGGGGGGGGGGGGTTGTCGGCGTAAACGAGCATCGTGTGATGTGATGACGTGTTACTTGTTTGCTTGTTTTTCTTTAAGGGAGTTTCTAGCCTTTGTTCGGAATCATGTTGTAATATTTCTACCCGGAGGGGTCTGTTTTGAAGCGCCTACCTTTTGGGTGCTCAAACCCGGTCAATGGCAGACATGACTACTTTCATAAATGTGAGTTTCATAGGCCATTGCTCTCTTCTCCTCTCTGAAAGGATCATGTTCTGGACAACAACGAAGTCACCGGTGCCCACACAAGTGACGAGAAACTCGAGACAAAAACCCCAGACGCGAAGACACGAGAAGAACGAACAAGCTTCGTACTGGGTTTGTTCAGTATGAAGCAACCATGCCCCAAGGGCAGTACTTACAGCACATCTGGTGTAGGAAACCCCTAGGCGTGTGCAGCCCGAGCACCGTAGTATATGACTCCTGGCTCACACATCACCTGTACAGACGTCATGCTAGTTGCTAGTTGTCATTTGGGCAGTTCTGTCCACTCGTTCGGCTTTCAGTAGCAATGTTTTGACCAGAATAGGGGTTTGTTTTGGGGCACCTACCTTTCTGGGTGCCAGACCCGGTCGATGGCAGACATGGAATGCTTCCAACCACATGGGGGATTTCTATAGGCCATTGCTCCTTGCGCCTCTCTGAGGGGGCCAGGTTCTGGCTCGTGGTCCCCGGTAGGAAAGAACTCCATGCACTTTGACTGATGCCAGAAAACTAATAGTAACACATCAGCCTGGATAGCTCCAGGAAGCTGACGGGGCTCCCTCCAGAAAGGGACAAATACGACACTAGAAGAGTTGCTACCTAATCCTCATAAAAATAACAGTACAAATGGCTAAGGCATTTGATTGCTTGGGAGAGGCAAAGTCCTGGGAATGGGAGAAGCTGGGAAAACCAAGCAGAATGAGGTGTCCCTCAAATGTCTTCAATCTGAAATTCTTAATACAAGAAGAGGAGCTGGACACGAGAAAAAATGGTAAAGGAAGTCCCACTAGTTTCAGTCCAAATAAATTTTCACCATTGGCAGTTGTGGCTCATGGAAAAATAGAGGAACTGCATCACGTTGATAGATGTGGCACTGCTAAGTCTAACACTACTGTACAGCATGAAATCTCAAATTTTCTCGTACAGTAGTACCTCAGTTTTAGAATGCCCCCTCTTGACGAACTTTTCGGGTTACAAGCCCGATTTCTTTGGAAAATTTGAATCGGGTTACGAACTTTACCTCGGGATACAAGATTGTTCGCATATGGCCAATCTAGCGTGTGGTGGCACGGCGATCGCACCTCAGTTTACCAGTGCCTCCTGCCAAGTGACTATCCCATCTGAATTCTTTGCAAGGATTTAGGTTTTTTCCAGATTTTTTGTAATTTGAGCATAAAAGTTATTATATATCTCGCCATGGGTCCCAAGAAAGCCAGTGGTAAGGTTCAAGCAAGAAACCACATGTGAGAATGCCCATAGAGGAAAAACAAGAGATCATTCGTAAACATGAAAATGGAACACGTGTTATTGAACTAGGCAGGCAGTACAACAAATCTTCAGGGAAGGAGAAGGTGGCAGTATAGGATGTCCCCTTCCTCATTAATTAAGAAAATGTGTGCAGTACGGGAAGAACTGCAAAGTTTTGCTGAAAAGAATCACCCAGATAGAGCTGTAGAAAGCCGTTGCATTGATCTTATTAATGACAATGTGATGTCTCACTACAGACAAGTGTTACAAAGAATGGAAAAATAATCTTCAATGGAACAATCTCTAGAGAGAAAATCAAGCAGTGAACCAGAAGCAGGTCCTAGTGGTATGCAGGCAAAACGTGCCAGTGTGTGTACCCCAGAGAAGTTATCACTGCCTGATGTTATAATGGAAAGGGACTCCCCTTCCAAACAGTAACACCTCTCCTCCTCCTCTCCCTCCTCACAGTCTTCCATACGCCAACAGGAGTCATCAATAAAGGTAAGTAATAACTCGTACATACTTTTGTACTTAGATTTGGGTTATATTGAGGTTATCTTGAGATGATTTCGGGGCTTTAGTGTCCCCACGGCCCAGTCCTCGGCCAGGCCTCCACCCCCAGGAAGCAGCCTGTGACAACTGACTAACACCCAGGTACCTATTTTACTGCTAGGTAACAGGGGCATAGGGTGAAAGAAACTCTGCCCATTGTTTCTCGCTGGCGCCCGGGACCGAACCCGGGACCACAGGATCACAAGCCCAGTGTGCTGTCCACTCGGCCGACCGGCTCCCTGGGTGAAATAGATATTATATTTACTTTGAAGTTAATTTTTTGGGGAGTCTGGAACAGATTAATTCATTTCCCATTATTTCTTATGGGAAAATTCGCTTCGGTTTACGAATTTTCCGGTTACAAATCGTCTCCAGGAACAGATTAAATTTGTAAACCGAGGTACCCCCTGTATTTTAATTAAAAATTTTCAAAATTCAGTTATAAATACTGCATATGGAAAATAGCAGACTTTTTCTATGACATTTGTTAGCTGTTTATCATTCTAGTGTGAGACTGATGGAGTCATACACCTGCCAGTGAGTGTCTGGGGCGACTACAGTTCAGCAGCTCATATGGGTGAGCTGGCACTAACCATAGGCACCTTGTTTTCATGAAAGAAAGCAACTGATGCAACAGATTTTTCCACAGCAAGTTAAAGACATCCACCTTAAGATAGCTGAACATCTCATAAATCCAATCTCACATTTCATTGAAATTAGAGGGAAACATTAAAAGCTGTCCTCCAGAACACTAGACACTTGGGAGGTGGGAAGACTAGGACTAAATCATGAGAAGCCAGAAATGAGCCCAGCTGAAGAGTCCAGCTACATAGTGAACCAGTGGACCATACATGTGCAATCCAGGTGAAGTCATTTTGCTGAACTACATAGCAGAGGCATGCCTCAGGGCACCATCCAAACCTTTGCAGGGAATCCCTTTCAAGGATGACTAAAACTGTGCCAAACCATTGCCCCCCCCCCCCCAAACCAAGTAACCCCATTGCGAGAAGACTACACATTTACTTTATCACATTTCTACTTATCCAAATATAAAATTAAATTAGATAGATTATAACAGATACAAATTGTCATCTCAATAACTTAGAAAAAACAAAGGGTTATGCATACCTTGATAACTCCTTCATGGTGCCTATATGCTATCAAAACAGCACCACAAAAAAAAATGGAGCAGTACATAGAAAGGACTGCAAAGAATCCAGCACAGGACGTCTCGTGGATCCACCAACGAAAATACAAAGGGAGAAAAACAATACGAATGACACCATGTAGGCCAGCCAACCATAATCCTGAATGTGGCTTTGCCTTAGGAAATGTTGAGCCTGAGGAAAGGAAAGACAATTTAACTTTATATCAATATCATTTAAATCAACTTTGTAACTTTAGCAGCACTTCAAAAAGAACCCATGTCTTTAATTATGAAAACTCAATAGTGCACTAATACCAAATTTGTACAACTATAAAAACAAAAAAAATATGGAAATACACAGTTTATACAGCATTAACTCTGGCTGAAATGTCTCTTTCTGGAAAAACTCCTTTCGATGCCTTACGACCTACCCACCTGTGTACCTTACCTTGTGGTTACCTTGCTATGATTTCAGGGCTCAACGTCCCTGCGGCCCAGTCCTCGACCAGGCTTCCTCACTGCTGGACTGCTCAACCATGCTGTTGGACACAGCTGCTCGCAGCCTGGTTGATCAGGTATCCTTTTGGAGGTATTTATCAAGTTCTCTCTTGAACACTGTGAGGGGTCAGTCAGTCATGCCCCTTATGTGTAGTGGAAGCATGTTCAACAATCTCGGGCCTCTGATGTTAATAGAGCTCTCTCTCAGAGTACCCATTGCACCTCCGCTTTTCAACAGGAGGTATTCTGCACATCCTGCCATGCCTTCTGGTCTCATGTGGTGTTATTTCTGTGTGCACCTTTACAACCAGCCTCTATAATATTTTCCACGTGTAAATTATTATGTATCTCTCCCGCCTGCGCTCAAGAGAATAAAGATTTAGGCATTTTAGTCTGTCCCAATAGTTTAGAGTTTTATCGAGTGGATTCTAGGAGTAAAGGATCTCTGCACACTCCCAGCTCAGCAATTTCTCCAGCTTTGAAAGGGGCTTTCATTGTGCAACAATATTCCACTCTAGAGAGCACTAGCATCTTGAAAAACATCATCATTGGTATAGCATCTCTAGTTTGAAAGGTTCTTGTTATCCAACTTGTCATTTTTCTTGCAGTTATGATGGCTACTTTATTGTGTTCTTTAAAGGTAAGGTCTTCCGACATGAGTACAGTACACCCAAATCTTTTACAATGCTTTTTCGTTCTATGTTATGATTTGACTGCATTTTGTACGTGGTTTTCGTTTTTATATTTTCATTTTTCTGTAGTACCACTAGTGCAGGAGCTGAAACTTATCTTCATTAAAAACCATATTTTCTGTAGCCCATTGAAAGACCTGATTTACATCTGACTGGAGGTTTGCTTTGTCCACAATGTTGTCTACTCTCATAAAAATTCTAGTGTCACCTGCAGAGAATGAAACGGTACTATAGTTTGTGTCTCTTGTCTATGTCCGATATGAGGATGAGAAAAAGTACTGGAGCAAGCACAGTACCCTGGGGGACTGAATACTTCAAGGTTGATGGTCCAGATTTTATTTTGTTGACTATTACACATTGGGTTCTGTTAGTCAGGAAATTGTAGATTCACCTGCCTTTTTCCAGTAATTCCTTTTGAATGCATTTTGTGTGTAATAACACCATGGTCACATTTGTTGAAGACTTTTGAGAAATCTGTGAAAATTACAGTAGTGTTTTGCATGTCTTCCATGGCATCTAAGGCCATGTCATAGTGGTCCAGCAACTGTGATAGGCAAGAGCATCCTGTTCTGAAACCATGTTGTCCAGGGTTATGAAGATGATGTGATTCTATGTATTTTGTGACCTTACTTCTTAGCATTCTTTCAAAGATTTATATATGTGATTTAGTGCTATCGGTCTGTAATTTTTTGCCTCTGCCTTATTTCCTCCTTTATGGAGTGGTGCCATCTCTGCTGTTTTTAGTATGTAAGGGATAACAGCGGTATCTAAGCTCGATCTCCAAAGAATGTGAAGGGCCAGCAATAGTGATTTTTACATTCCTTGATGAATATAGAGATCCATCTAGGTATAGGTAGCTGACATACCTAGCCCTGAACCATTGTATTGCACACACCGTGATATCATGTGAAAAGGGTGAGCACACACCACTAACACATTTGTTAGTATATGGTAATATTGGATACTCCCGCAGGTACACGAGGCTCTCATTCTGTTCCTCAGGACTAGAGTAAATAGCCACCATCTTGAAAAAAATTGTTTAATTCCCTCCTGGCTGTGAGAGCTTCAGTACTTCCTGAGCAATCAAGGCTGGCACATACAGCTGCAGCTCACAGCACAGTTGTGCAGGTCCACAGCATTGCTTAATAATGATGAATAAAATGAGTAGCTGCAATTATTTTGCAACGAGTGTCATATATGATCGTGACTGTGATAAAGACTATGAACAACATTCAGATACCTGTGAACACAATGCTAGTTATGATGTTCATAGCATGAGGCAAGAGAGAGAGGGAGAGAACATTTAGCCACAGTTTTGTGCATGTACGAATCGTGAAAATTCTATAATAAATATTACTAGTGCTGTCAGTAAGCCTAACATTTGGAAATATATATAGTCTTAATAAATAGCCGATATATTCAGAAAACATTTTAATTAAGCATATCTCAAATCCTACAGGAAAATCGCAAAAAAATATAATTAAATTAAAAATTTTACGTTGCGTACCTCTTACTAAGTCTACATCAATAAATTCTGTCTTTGGTTTGGCTGTTTTGCGTGGCGTATATGAGAGACCTTTAAGTATTCTTTGTTCCACAGTTGTTTCCCACGACTGTTTGTCATAGAGACCAATCCGTCCCTGGTACCAGCCAAGAGCAGATTCTAATACCATCCTGAAAGAAGAGAAAATGTGTAACTAAAATTAGATAAGTACTTTATCGCATTTTTTTATTATACCAATTGAGGAACATAACATCCAGTTCCTATGTCAAGAGGATATTATGAAAGGATTCAAAACTGCAGTTTGAAAGAAAAAAAAAATCCTCCTTATTTTCTCAAGGAGGATGTTCTATTCAGTGCCAATGGGTTCTGTGAGAATGTAACCTGTACTTTACTTTGCCTGTGCCTGTTATAGATGTTGTACCGTACCTGTACTCTTGAGGGACCATGTATCATCAGGGGAGGAGATCAAGGCTCGAGAACAAATACAGACACAGTGGAACCTCGACTTACGAATGCCCCTACTTACGAATTTTTCGAGTTACGACCCAAATTTCGTCGGAAAATTTGACTCAACTTACGACCTTTGCCTCGACTTGCAACTTTGTTGATACAGAATACATATGGTCGACTGAGTGCATGGCATGCTTCAGTTTACCAGTACAGTATCTCTCACCTAGTGATGATTGCGCTTGAATTCCTTGTAAAGAATTTCATTGTGTTTCAGAGGTCCCAGGACAGAAGTGTGTGCCACTCATGTCTCAGATACTGGAGGGCAGGCATGGGAAGCCATGTAATGTAAGCAAACTCCCTCCAACCTACAAAACACCGGCAAGGGGATCCATGCATCGTAAACAAACTCCCTCCAACCTACAAAACACCAGCAAGGGGACTCGCGTATCATTTACAAACTCCCTTCAACCTACAAAACACAGGCGAGGGGACCCACATATTGTAAACAAACTCCATTCAACCTACAAAACACAGGCCAAGGGACTGACATAACGTAAACAAACTCCCCTCAACCTACAAAACACAGGCAAGGGGACCCACATATTGTAAACAAACTCCATTCAACCTACAAAGCACAGGCCAGGGGACCGACGTAACGTAAACAAACTCCCCTCAACCCACAAAACACAGGCAAGGGGTGGGGAGTGAGGCAGGCATGGGCATTAAGTAATACCGAAAAAGCCATTTGACGTAAGATAGAGAATTGAAGACATTAAACAGAGCAAGAGGTTTACATGTGACATCCATATGCAGACGATAAATTAAAATAATTTTATTGTGACTTGTCTTGCAATGCATCTTGCATATTGCGATGTCTGCAATAACAGACATTGTCTGCACACAGGCAAGTGGACCCACACATCGTATACAAACTCCCTCCAACCTACAAAACACAGGCAAGAGGAAACACTTATTTATATATTTATTTATATACAAGAAGGTACATTGGGTTTGTGAGAATACATAGCACAGTATTTACAATCTTGTAAAGCCACTAGTACGAGCAGCGTTTCGGGCAGGTCCTTAATTTAACAGATAATTTTAAGTAGGTAAATTCTAGCAGAATTAATTTTGATTTGAGAGATAAAATGATAAAATACATTGCAAGAAAAAAAATGAGATGAGAGAGATTAGTAAGTATATTAAAGCACATTGGTATATTAAAGCTCTGATTGATTACATTGACAGCTTGAGTGGTAATTTAAACAAGATTAATAGACACCATATAGCAGATTGATAGCACAACATAAACTCCCTCCAACCTACAAAACACAGGCAAAAGGACCCACATATCAAACAAACTCCCTCCAACCTACAAAACACAGGCAAGAGGAAACACATCATAAACAAACTCCCTCCAACCTACAAAACACAGGCAAGGGGACCCCACGGAACGTAAACAAACTCCCTCCAACCTACAAAACACATCACAAAACCTTAGTACATCCAACCATTTTTATGCAACACCACCACTATATTACCTGGCGGAGCGGAAGCTACACGTGAATATTAGGGAGACTAAGACGAGAGGTTATATAGAGCGGCCAGAGATGACATTCTGCTGCTGGACGTTTCAAACATCAGTGACCCCTGATGACCACCTACCGCCGGCACAAACTAAATCGTGGCGAAGTAATGGAGAAAATCTTCTTATGTTTAGACGGAGTAATGTTGGCTATATTTGCAATATATATATATTTATAAATTTCTCATTGAGGATTTATTTTCAATAAGTAAAATACGAGGCTTGCCTTTTATTAACGATACAAAAAACTTTTTGATAAAATATTTTAACACAGCATAAATTTTTTTTTCAGGGAAATTCCTGCGCGGGCCCTATATGCCTCTGGCTGGCTCGCTAAGTGTTGCATGTGTGTCTATGTATGTATTAACACGATGTACTGAACGGGGGTGAGAATAGCGTGAGCTACCTCATCCCTTTGTGTGTATTTTACCTCAATAAACTTATTTCAATTTCAATTTCAATTTCAAGTGTTGCTTGTTTCTGTTTTACTTAGGTGGAGTGTGACTATTTATGACTCGTATGGTCGCTTCAGTAAGATTTTGTCCAATGTGTTTAACAACCTCTTCTGCTCTGTTGAATCTAAGTTGAAATATATTATTGGGTTTGTAACTGTGCACTGTGTTAGATAATGTTCCAGTGGTCTATCGGGCATTTCTCCACAGTGCTGACATTTCCTCTCATCTTCCGGAACCTGTAAGCCTATTTCCCATGCACATGGGTATCCAAGCCTGATGCGATGTAAGTGTACTTCTGTTGCTCTACTGCTCCCTTTCATCAAACTAAGTGGTTCGTAATTGGTTGAATTCTTGTACCAACCCGCAGATCCTGATGTTGCAACTGCTGTGTTGTGGTCATTGTACATCTTTTGCATTGCTGCAGAAGATGTTTCTAATTTCGTTCTTAATCTGTGATAGACTCTGTGGTATGTAAATGTCTACATTTCTTCTCTTAGTTGCAAGTTTTTCAGCTTCGTCTGCAATGTCCTTTCCTATTATTCCCACATGACTTGGCACCCAGTTGATAAGTACCCGTCGGCCAACGGGTACTTATAATATCTTACTATTTTAAACAATGCTGTTTGTTGACCAAATTGTATATTTGCTATTTTCTGCCATGTTCCCTCCTCCCCTTTTTTATTTTTTTCAACACAATTTATACTTTAATCTCAATTAGTATTGTTTTAGTCTAAGTATTTTTCCTGCCCGAAACGCTTGCGTAATAGTGGCTTTAGGCTTTGTATGTACTAGCTCTATCAATAAAGCCATCAATGTTTGTATCTCACCTTGTATGTATATACTTTACTTGAATAAACATTTTGATTTTGATTTTATTTTTATTCTTTAACAACCTACCGCCGGCACAAATTTAATCGTCGCTATGTAATGGAGAAAATCTTATGTTAAGAAGATGTAATATTGGTTATATTTGCAATGTATATTGATAAATTTCTCACTGCGTATTTATTTTTACCAAGTAAAATATGAGGCATGCCTTTTATCGATTGATAATTTTATGATAAAATAATTTAACATGAAGATAGTATTATGTTCTGCTTTACTTGTTTAACAAATACTTTAAATAAATAAAGAAATATAGAGATGAACTATTTTGTTATAAAATATTGTATATAGTTTAGGTGGGAGAGGTAAACAAATAACATTTTTGTGCCCGGAGAACATCAACAGGGAATCATGGATCAGCTGGCCTGAGAGACCTCCAGCGGCTCCCCCCCTGCATCTTGGATAATATTCCCTTATTATAACAAGAGTCCTTAACATTATAAATTATATCTGACGGCTAGGTAAATTTGTTAAGCATGACTTGTTTCTGCCTCAGACATTAATGAGTATTTTCAAAATCTAGTCGTAGAGTTGGTTTGGGTCAAGTCGCCCCAGGTAGAAGTCCCTTCGTACACAAGAAGTTTCGCTAGTGGATTTAAAAAATTGACTAACCCGAATTTGACCTGAGTTTACCTGAGGGCAATATCTTTCTAGTGGCCTCGATTAGGACAGGAAGCCGGGGTTTTGTCAAAGGTTCCCTCCCATTTGTCCTGATTCCATCCAGTAAGGTTTTGAACTAGCAGTTTTGTCATGTGTATGTATTTGTATTTGTAAGTTTTGTCATTTTGTCATTTGTCATTTATGGCTGAAGAGGGTAGGTGATTACATGGGTATATAACTGGACGAAATAGCATCCATAGTTCATACCCTGGAAAAACAAACTGAAACAGTCTCTATTTTCCGCTGGTTACAACTTTTATTAAAGTTGCTACATCTTGGCTTAACGTGTTTATGACGTATTAGAACGTTGTTACAACTTGCTATATTGGTTGCTATAACTGGTTAGGTGTTAAAACTTGTTCGAATGTTGTACCAACGTCGTAGTTTTGGTGTGTGTTTGGTGGGTAGCATCCATGGATGGATTGGAGGAGGGGGGTTGAAATAGCCTAAGCTACTCTATCCCTTTGAGATGTATTTTATTGTCTCAATAAACGTACATGAACCTGATGTCCTGTTTTCCATCCTGCATTGTGGCTTGTTAAGTTTGGAACCGTTGCTCCTTGTTCGTGTTTAATCTGACCTTTTCAAAGAAGTCTAAATCAATATACTCCAAATTGTTCAGTACTTTAAAGGTTTTGATATCAGCCCAGTTTGTCTGGTTTGCAGTGTTAGTCCTGTAGAACTTAACCATTCCACGAATGAGTTGTATTAGTTCTGGAATGAATAAACCTGCTTGGTTTTGAACTGTCTCCAAAGCAGATGTCTTTCTGAAAATGAGGTTTCCATTCATGAATCAATAATCCAAGTGCAAATGCACCAGAGATTTGTACAGTCATATAACTATCTTCTTTTACTTGAAGTCAAAATGATTTAATTAATTAATTTGACTCTGTAGGATTTAGCTATTTTTTTAAAAGTAGCTGGACTTTAACTTGTATCACTTGGGCTGGATGGTAGAGCGATGGTCTTGCTTCATGCACTTCTCCCTACTCCCTGAGAAGTGCCTGTTTGTATTATTAGTTACAAACTAATTAGCTTGGTTAGTTAGTTTCTGGGAACCACAATGGGTTCCCCCCAGAAAACCAGCATTGAATGTAATGAAATGTCAATTTCTGGGTGAGCTCCAGTGGCTCCCTGACTCCAGGTCCCAACCCCCCCCCCTTCCCCACCCATACCCAGGGCATTGGGGGCATTTCCATTACTTAAAGATGAGGGTGGATCAGCTGGCTGATGCCAGGCTGCCTCCCTCCTCCCACTAAATGAGGGGGAGGTTGGGTAGGTGAACTTGCTTGCGCTAGTTTTGTGAATTTTGTATTTTTATTTTTACATTGTTTAGTAATTTGTTCAATTGTTAATGAGTTTTACTTTGTATTTCAGTTTTGAGACATATTAAGAGATGCCTACCGTCATTCTTTTGGATGTGTCACTGTCAATGAGTCGTGGTGTAGACATAGCGAGCCCCTGCCAGGACGATGAGAATGTAGAAAGCCTTCTGTTGAGGAAGGACCTTGCTGCTCATGGCTGTAATATTCTCCTTGATCATTTCGTCCAACATTGCAAGTTGGAGTTTGCTTCTTTGGTAAGGAGGCATATATAGTGTCAATTTATTGCAACAGTTTGATATATACTACAGGGTGACACAATTTAAAAAAGCAAATCAATATTATTGTCATCACTAAAATATTGTTTAGAGGCAGAATTTTGACTTATAATGTGATACCAAAAACATTTAGTGTATTTAACTTAACCAGCAGTATGCAGTTCACAAAAGTAATACAAAATAATTAGTAATATAAATGCTTAAGACTGCAATGTGTCCCCCTAATGTTTTGATTTATTGATTTACCTGTATACAGTCTTGATCCTTGTACCATAAGTACAAAAAGCTGACTGCAGTGTTCATATTGTTCCACAGATAGTATTCTCATCAGTTTACAAAGTATTGATGCCATTCACAAGGGACTTTGAATCGATTAAGAATGCCCTAAATTTAGTGGATGAATGTGACAAAACCAGCATTGAGGTTGGACTAATGGGAGCAGCACAACATATTCTGGAAGAGTGGGGCAATGGGACACCTTGTCAGGTACAGTAATATGAAATATCTTTGATGTAGTTTAACTTGGGAGGACTTTTTCAAAGTAGCATTCTTATAATTTTAATGATATGCCAATGATGTCTTCCTGTAAACTTTAGCAACCAATTCTTTCTGAGTTCAAAGTTATGATTTTTTTATATTTTTTTATGCAAGAACTAATATACATATAATAATAAATGAACATTATTTACAGGTTGTTTTAGTGACTGATGGCAATGCAGGAACTGGTCAGCATTCCCTCCAAAAGTCAATGATGTCTTCTCATTCTCGAGGAGCATCTCAATTTCCGTTACCATTTCCATTTCCTGCAAAACTGAACATTGTTTGCATTGCTAATCCTAGTGAACTATGCCTTCAGGTACAGTAATTTCTTTCTAGCATATTTGAATCTTTCGTGAGTGCTAGGTGCCCATGTGCTAATGAGCATTGACATTTCATCTACAAGTTAACTTCACACCCTTCAGAATTATGCCAACTAGTTATCACATTTACAAAGAAATTAGTTTTCCTTTAGTGTGAGGTAGTCGATGACATTCACATTTTCCTTTGCCTCCTTCGGGGACAAGATTTTAGTCTTTACTCTTAATAGGCTATAGATGCCCTTTACCATGGCATCTGGTGGTGGCAGATGCCATGGTAAATGGAATACCAGTGCTTAAACTCAAGAAAGCCAATGAGGAGCCCCAGAAAAGGACATTTTATTTTACAGTACACAGTGCATTAATTTTGCATATTGCATAGCATATAATTGATGGCTATTGTTCTCTAATTGACATTTAATGGTTAATTTATGTAATATGTTGATCTCTGGGTCAATGCAGTTATCATTTGTAGATTTCACTTATTATTTAGATTTCATACAAATTATGTAAACATGGTTATAAAACAAATATATGGATGTAATGGAGTTAACAAAAAATCATAAAAAAATTCTGCTATAATTTCTGGGCGAAACCCCTTGAGGCTTCCTGAAGCTATAGTCACTGATTCAGTGCCATACTATTAGGTGCCATCAGTTGCGGAGTTCTGTTGGCCCTCCTGGGACCACTAATCAGAACCTGGCCCCCCCTCCAGAGAAGTGTAGGAAGCGGTGACCCAGGAACACTTTACATTTAAGTTAATCATAATTGCCACCACCAGGGAAGGACCCAGAAAGTCGGCGAAAAAAATAATCCGTCCTCAGACCAGGTCCATTCCATCCATCGGTCGACCCCAAAGACGCATTCATCAATTTTAACATACTGCTCATTCAAAACAGGAATTTTCTCGTATATAAGTTATTATTACAGTATTATATATTAGCATTTTGTGCATATTTAGGCACTGGTTAGGTTAGGTTAGGTGTTTAGGTTCTGTTGGCAATTATTTGTATTTGTGGTATATGGGTGAAGCATTTACAGCATTGTGGTTCGAACAAAAGTCATCAGCGAAGCACTTGTTCTGGAAGTGTTCGAATGTCATCAGTTGAGTCGCATGTAAACCATTTTTCATTCATAAACAAGGGGTTTGGCTGGTGCATGGAATGGACTTTACCTTTGTTTATGAGGACGGGCTGAAACAACAGATCACTGCATGGTTAGAACGAGACGGTAGCCTCTAAAGATTGCCAAAAGAACTCCTAACAATGAAAATAAACCACCAAAATTTCATGAAACTAGTGCCAGCTAGTTTGCTCCACCTACCCACATTTTGGGGGAGGAGGGAGGCAGACTGGGTCAGCCCGTCTGCTCCACCCTCAATTCTATTCTGATGGTGCCTGGTTGCTGTCCTAGTCGCCCTTGCTCCAGGCTCCCATTTTTCAAGAGGTGTTTTGCCTTTGAGGCTGTTCTTATACACGTTTGTGTAATGTGAGCCAGGACTTGTAGTGTGCATGGAGCTACATGTGGTCAGGGTTTTCTTTCTTGTGCTCTCCTTAAGTGCTACCCTTAAACGGTCAGGGTTTTCTTCTTGGGGTGTTCAGGATACACTCCCTTTAGGGGGCCTCCTCACTTGGGGGGGTCCTTGCCTTTAAGGTAAACCAGTGGCCTTTGACTGTCTTTCCTTGGGTTATAAGTGTTTTTGACTGGAGGGGGGGCACTGTGATTTGCGTATTCAGTTGCATCTTAAGCTAACAGAATGACACACTTTCTTCCTAGTTGCTTGGACTCTGGAGTTTGGTCCTGTGGGTTTTGGGCTCTTTAGTTTAATTGTCACTGTTTTCACTTTGTCATTTTGTGTTTGAGGGTTCTTCTTTTTTGCCTTATTAGGCTTAGCCTAGAGTATGTGTGGTTTAGCACCCTTTGCCCCCTTGGCCTTTCTGTTAATTTTGGGTAGCCAGGGTTGCCTGTACCATTCAGAGGTTACCTGCTTCCTGCAGGGCTCATTCACTCTGCAGGCTCAGGAAAACCCTTGTAGGCTCAGTGTACCTTGAATAGTTCTGAGCCTGCTCCCACTTTGTGCTAAAATTGAGGGTTGCTCGTTGCCTGTGTCACCTGGCGATGTTCATATGTTCTGCCTTCAACATGCTGACTGTTGGGTCGGTAACGTCTTTGATCCTGAGTCATGTGAGACTTGTTCCTCCCATGTGATTCGTCTCGGCCCCAGGGAAGGCAGAAAGCGAAAAAGCTGGCATACCAAGGCCAGGGGCCGACACAAGTGAGGAGGACCTCTAAGGGAGTGATCTCTGAACACTCGAGGAACCCTGGCAGTGTAAAGGAAAGGTAGCCCTGTGCACATGCAGCACCAAGTGCTTTGCACTCCTGGCTCACACTGTACGAAGTATAAGGAACAGCTGCAGAGCCAAACACCACTTAGCTGGACCAGGACACTGGAGCCAGAGTGACAGAGAGGGCAACCAGACACTGCTACCATCAGCAATAGAATTGGAGGTGGAATAGCTAACTGGCCCGGGCTGCCTCCTTCCTTCTCCCAAATGAATTAAGTGGTGGGGCCAATGAACTCGAGCTAGTTTTGTGAGTTTGTTTATAATCTTTTGATTGTTCTTGAGGCTGCGATATCCTTTATCATCAGCAGTGGTTTGTTTTGTTTTAATCTGGGTGTTTTCATCAGTGGTGCCGGACATGAATAAATTCATAGAAATTTTATCATAAGTGCCATCACTCCCTGTGCCCCTCTAGAGGGGGTGAGGTTTGGCTCATGGTTCCTGGTAGGTCAAGTAGAACTCTGCAACTGATGGCACCTGGTGGTTTGATACTATATCACCATAGTGGCTTCATGAAGGCATAATAGGCTTTCCCCCAGAAATAGATGCAAGGTAAATTACCTTACATAATACAGTACTATTAACGACTGTACGCTGTTTCATATGGTATATTATGTGTGTAGTAAAAAGTGACTTGCATATACACTATGCAGAAAAAAAGTATTATTTTTTAATGTTATTTACCAATTTTTATATATTTTTCAGACATCTAAACCATTATATCAGAGATTGATAGAGCTTAATGGAGAAGGAGATATTTTAGTTCCTGATGGAGGTCTGAACAAAAAGGTGAATAAAATACCATTTCAAGTATTTGAGAATTAATGTATTTTAGGATGGGTTAAAGGCTGTCACAAAGCCTGCAAGAGATGTGAAAGTTAGGCAGATCACATATTCTTGGAAGTTTATAAATAGGAGTAAGAATGTTAACTAAGAAATTTGACTACAGTACCATAAATCATAGTTTAGCATAATCTGATGTAATTGAAGCAAACCAGATTAAGGGTGAGGATTCATGAAGTGGTACTTGGTGTTTTAAGATTGGGTGTAGATTAATATGAGGAAATAATAAGTAATGAGGATGTGAAAAGTGTGTAGTATAGTATAAAGAAAAAATAAGAATATTAGAGTTGAAAAATTATTTTAGCTTTACAGGAAACCAGTACCACTACACTAACAAAACATCTGCAGCAGTGATTCAGATGTTTTGCTAGTGTAGTAGTAAAACATCTGCAGCAGTGTTTCAGATGTTTTATAGATTAGGTGTAGATTTCCTTGCTATTTTCTTGGATTCTGGCCCCATTCTTGCCCCCAGCCTATTTGGGTGGGTACCTCGCCTGCTGTTGGTTGAGGTAGGGCCTCAGGTGGATCAGATTCTTAGGCCATTGCACTACCTGCTCTGAATTCCTCTTATTCTTGACATCCCAACTACGTTGCAGAAGGATGGTCTCATTCTTTATTAGAGTTCTTTAATTCCATTCCGCATAATTTGTAATTTGTGTCCGGTCTATTTTCTCCATTTCCACATTCCATAATATGGCATTTCTGGGAGGAGCCCCTTTGGTTCCCCGGAGCTATCCAGGCTGATATGTATATCATCAGACTTTGGCATCAGTGTGTATGGAGATCTAGGCCTTCCTGGGATCACAAGCCAGAACCTGGCCCCCTCAGAGAGGCACAAGTAGCAATGACCTATAGAAATGCACATGGGATTTGGAGCATTCAGTGTCTGCCATTGACCGGGCCAGACACCCAGAAAGGCAAGCGTCTCAAAGCAAACCCCTATTCTGGTTAAAACGACTAAAATAGACAAACGAGTGGACAGAACTCTTCAAATGAAAACGAGCAAACGAGCATGATGTCACACGAGTCGCGCTGCATGTCTGTGCAGCTTTCCCCTCCCTAGGAGGGAAAAGGGGGAGCCCCAGCCCCACGACACTGGCGATCCACCTCTAGGTCTCGGCTGATGTGATTGTGGCATGGTCGTGTGGCTCCAGCTCCAGATTGTGTGTGGTTGTGCTGTGCCTTGTGTTCAGTGCTGCTGTTACGGTGGCATGCGAGCTGGGAATAATATTCACAGGTACTCGGGGGCTGCATGTGCTTAGGGTTCCTTTCTCTGAGTGCCTTGTAAGTACTGCCCTTGGGGCTTGGGATTATCTTCCACAAGTCAGCTTGGGGTCTACCTCTGTTGGTCTTTTGCTGCTTGGTGATTGACCGCCCTGAGTGTGTTGGGGGGGTTTTCGTCTCTTGTTTACCTTGGGGTAAGTGGTAGTTTTTGCACTGGTGGGGTGCAGGGTATTGAGCAGCTAGTTTTCACCTATTACAGTGGCCGGCTCTGTTCCTCCTGGGTGCGTTGTCCTCTTGTGGGTTTTTTCTTTTTGTTTTTGTTTTGGCCTGGTGGGGGGGTCTGCCTTGTGTCGTTTACCCCCAGTTATATTAAGGTCTTGACCTCCAGTGTTCAGTTGTACCCCCCTGCTTGGCCCCCGTGAGTGGACATGTCCCAGAGGTTCAGTTTTTAGAAGTTTGTTGGTAGACTTGGGCATCGGTTAGCAGTACCCTGCCTGGCCTTACTCTTAGCAATACCAGTCTAGGGGCCCTGGGAAACCCCGCGGGGGGCGCACGGGGTCCAATGGATGCAACCCCTGGGTCCCCTCTTGCCATGTGCGAGTTTGAGGGTTGCTCTGTGTCCTTGTCTCAGGGCAACACTTATTGTTTTTGCCTCCATCATGCTGCCTGTTGGGTCGGTGACATCTTCAACCCTGAGTCTTGCGAGCATTGTTGCTTGTTTGTGACTCAGTTTGCCCAATCAACTGATGACATTATTTGGGTGCAGGCAGCTCAGGCGTTGCATGTTAGGTATAAGTTGCTGCAACTTGCTAGGATGGTTGCTTCCCCAGATGCCCTGAGGCTTCCCCGTTGTGCTTATGGGGACCCGGACTTGGGGGTGTTGGTCGCTTCAGCTTTGGTTCACTCCAAACCCCCTCGTTTTTCCCCTGCTGTGGTTTATTCTGTTCCCCTCTCCTTTTCCCCTTGCTTCCGGCTCCAAAGCGTCTGAGGGCTTCAAAGTCGGGGTGGGGTTTAGAGGTTTTTGAGACTTGGGCAGTTTCAGAGGTTGCCCCTTTCGGGATGGCAATGGAGGCATTCGAGTCCATTCCTCCAGCCATGGCTCCGGGGTCTGACCAGTGGGGCCCCCTTCACTTCCTGCTTTTCCGGCCTCCCTGGCTTTTTCTTGTGAGGACGGGGCTTTTGAGGATGACTCGACCCCAGGGCCTTATGTGGTTCTCGGGGTTGGGGAGGAGCTGACTTAGGGTCCTTGGACCCCGTTGGACTCCACCTGGGTTTTCCAACCCTCAGAGCGGGGCTTTCTGTTACAAGGAGTGGGGGTTTTCTTTCCCTCCCCCCTCTGTGTACAAGTTGGATTTGGGTTCGGCTCTTCCCCGGGTTCGGTTCCGTATCCCTACAGGTCCTTCGGTTCTGTCCTTCCGGAGGTTTTTGGCTTCCTGGGTGGCGAATTTGAGCACCTTAATGCTTGCTTGTTCACCCCTGCCCTTCTGCGGGATGTGTGCACAATTCAACTTCATGTGCAGGTTTCCTCTCTGCCCACTGCTCTTGTGGCTGAGGACTTGCATGCTCGTGGCCTGTTGGCTTCGGTCTTGTGTTTCTTTTCTCTCCTGGAGTTGTCTTCGAATTGGCTTGTGGAGGATGTAGAGGTGCTTGGGGCCGTTCTCGGGTCTGGTGCCTTGGTCTCGGCTGCTCGTGCATCGTCTGCACTGCTGAAGCTGTTTGCGCCGATCTTGCGGGATGCTGTATTGCTGTTTTTCTCTGCATGTCTTGTGTGTCAGCAGGTTGTGCTCGCTTCCTCTTGGAATATGCTTGGGCCCTGGCTCTTAGGTTTTCTTCACCCTTTTGTCCCTTGCTGTTTGCGGACTCTGCGGATGAGCAGTATTTGAAGGCAACTTCTTCCAACTGTCGTCCAATGTTCGACTTGTTTGTTCTCCAGGGTTCCCGGGGGGGGGGAAGGGGGGGTGAAGGTTCCTACCGGAAGGGTCATGCCAGGGCTTGATGTTCCGCGCATCGGGGGTAGGCCACAGGTGCCAGGTTCAGAGCCGGCACTGCCTTCGGTTCCGTCTGCGTCTGGTCGGTACGGTAATTGCTCTGTGAGCAGGTCGGGGTTCTCGTAAGAGGGCGTTGGTCCTTTCGCGGTTTGCCCCATTGACGGGGGCGATGGAGTGGGGGGGGCTTGGTCTGTTCGTTCGTGCCTGGTCTCATGATTTGTGGGCTTTTCAGGTCATTTCCCGCGGCCTGCGGTAGCATTAGGTAGCCCTTACTCCTTTGGGGGGTTCGGGGCTGGCGGGACAGGCCTCTTCTCCTGCACTCTGTCGGGTCATCTCGGAGTGGGGGTGCTTAGGCGTGGTCGAAAGGACGACATCTCTCAGGTGGGTTTCCAGTCTGTTTGCAGTACTGAAACGGGACTATGTGGACCTGCGGTTTATTCTGGTCTTGTTCCATCTGAACCCCTGGGTTTCTTGCCCCTCCTTTCGGATGACCGCTCTGTCCCAGGTCCGGCTTCTGTTGGAGCCAGGCTCTTGGATGGTGTCCTTGGACCTCAAGGATACACAGTGGCACATCCCAATTCATCCGGGGTTCAGAGACTGGCTTGGGTTTGTTGTGGGGCATCTTGTTGTCGTTTTTGTTGTCTCCCATTTGGGTTGAACCTGGCTCCTCACGTGTTCACATGCCTCACCCGGGTTGTGGTGGCCTGTCTGCATCTTTTAGGTGTTCGGGTGTTGGCCTATCTCGACGACTGGCTGGTCTGGGCTCCCAGTCGGTCCGCATGTCTGCTCACCAGAAATTTGGTTCTTTCCCAGCTTGCCGGGTTCGGGTTCCTGGTGAACTGTCGGAAGTTCCAATTGGTCTCCTCCCAAGGTTCGGACTTAGCTGGGTCTTGTGTAGGACTCTCGGACTGCGTCCTTGTCTCTCCCTCTGGTGTCTCTTCTTTGACTGTGGTCCCACATGTGCTAGTTTCAGGGGCGCTCCTGGGTCACGCGGTGGTTGCTCGAGGATCTGTGTGGGATTCTGAGCTTTGCGATGATGGTCTACCTGCCGGGTCGGGTTTGACTTCGACGGCTGTTCTGGTTCCTTCGGGGACGTCCCTTCGGCCTCTCTCGCGATTGCTGGATTTGACTCCTGGGGGGCCCTTGTGTCGGCTGCTGCGTCGCCGACTTTGTCTTCGGGTTTTTCGGGGTTCAGTACTTTGGCGCCTACCTGAGCCCTCGCTTAATGTGTTCATGGATGCATTGTCTCTCGGCTGGGGCTTTGTGACCAGTGCTCACCATGCCAGCCAGGGGCGGTGGGGTCCGTTCTTCTGTTGGGCCCACAGCACGATGCAGGAGTTCGCGGCGGTGTGGTATTCGCTTCCGAGTGTTTGGGTCGCCTGCAGATTGACGATCCAGCTCCATTCCGACTGCTTCCTGGTGGTGGTTCATTGCCTGAACCATCAGGGTTCGTTGCAGTCCTTGGCTCTTTGGGGCTGGTCGCATTGGGTGACTCGTCTGCTGAGTTCCCGGGGGTTTGGCTCTCCTGGCCGTTCACATCAGGGGGGGGGGGTGTCCAACGTTCTGGCGGATGGCCTCTCCTGGTTCATTTCCCTGTCCATGGAATGGATGGTCAACGCTGACTCATTCAGTTGGCTTTGCCAGACATTCGGGCGCCTGGAGGTGGATCTCTTCGAGTCGGCATGGTCGAGGCATCTTCTAGTATATGTGACATCCTTCCCCAATTTCGATGCCGTTGGGGGTCGATGCCTTTCGGCAGGCAACTCCCACCTCCCGTCGAGGTGGGAGTTCCCGTACCTCTTTTTCCTGGTTCAGCTGTTGCTCCAGGTCCTGGTTCGCTTGGAGACTTACCAGGGAAGAGTAGTCCTCTTGGCCCCATGGTGGCCGGGCCAGCCTTGGTTTCAGGCGCTGCTTGCTTGGTGTCCGAACCCGAAGGTTTTCCCGCAGCTCTGCCTTTTTCAGCAGATCAGTCCAGTCCATTACGAGACTGGTTTGATCTTCTCCTCGAGTCTTCGTGTTTGGTGTTTTTGACTTGAGTCAATCACCATCTGTATGGTGATCAGGTGGCTTCTTTGATGGTGTCCCACCTGCAGGCTTCGTCTCCCTGGCAGTATGAAGTTTGCTGGCGGTTCTTCCGGTTCCTTTTTTCTCTCCGTCGCTGTACTTCGCTTTCGGTCAAGGTTCTTTTGGCCTTTCTCTCGTGGCTGTTTCAGGACCGTCATCTTAGGCCGAATACTGTCGCCCCATGCGTCATTGATGGAGCTGCTGCAGCTTGCTTTCGGTATTGATGTTACTTCTGTACCGTTTTGCAAGCTGTCTCGGGTCTTGTTTCACCTCCGGCCTGCTCGTGCACCGCCTGAGCCGTCCTGGTCTTTGGACAGAGTGCTCTCTTATTTGTCTTCTCGGTTTGTTGTGGTCCCTTCGCCTTAGGATTGTTTTTCTAAGGCTCGTTTCTTGTTGGCATTGGCCTCTGGGGGTCGGATTGGGGAGCATCATGCTCTCCTCCGGCGCAGGGGTTTCTGCTCTTTTGGAAGAGGTGATAGGTTCGTTCATTTGCAGCTGTCTTGTTCTTTTCTGGCAAAGAATGAGACTGCTGCTTTCTGGAGGGGTCCTAGGGTTGTTGATGCTTGGTCAGGCCAAGGGTGCATCATGTGTTGTGTCCGTTTGCGGCTCTCCGCCGTTATTTGTGCGCCATGGCCTCTGAGACTGGGGATGCGCTTTGGGTTGATCTGGTTTCCCTTCTTCTCTGTTCTAGGATTCGAGTCTCTCAGGTCGTCCGCAGGGTTATTCGGTCTAGTCAGCCTGCAGTGTTTCCCCGTGCCCATGATGTTCATAAGTTTGCTGTGTTGGCTGCTGTCTTTGGTAACATGTCCTAGGCTAACATTCGGGCACTTGGTTTTTGGCGGTCAAACAAGGTCCTTGCTGCATGCTACCTTGTTAATGTTCCTGGGCCTAGCCGGGCCTGTGTCGCTGTGGGTTGGCAGTTGCAGCTTGTTGTCTCAACTTCGAGTTGAGGTGCAAGCACCGACCGCCTCCTGGGTACGTCACTCTAGTTTTTGTCTTTGGTGATGTAGCTCTGGGGAGCCGAAGAGTCTCCCCCAGAAAACCAATGTTGAATGTAATGAAACACCATTTTCTGGGTGAGACCCGGAGGCTTCCCGGCAATTCCCCTTCCTCTGCTCGGCGTTTATTTTTGTGTGTATGTGTGTGTGTTTTGACATTCGGCCTCGAACTGGAGGGTGCATCTCTGGCACGGTGGGTCTGGGGCTTCCCCCTTCCACCGCCCGGGGAATAGGGGGGCTGCAAAGACATGCACCGCAGCTTGTGTGACGTCATGCTTGTTTGCTCGTTTTTATTTGGGGAGTTCTGTCCACTCGTTTGCCTATTTTAGTCATTTTAACCAGAATAAGGGTTTGTTTTGAAGCACTTACCTTTCTGGGTGCCTGGCCTGGACGATGGCAGACATAGAATGTTCCAAATCCCATGTGCATTTCTATAGGCCATTGCTCCTCGTGCTTCTCTGAGAAAGCCAGGTTCTGGCTCATGGTCCCCAGTAGGCCAAGAACCCCATACACACTGGCTGATGCCAAAGTCTAATTATATATGCACATATCAGCCTGGATAGCTCCGGGGAGCCTCCAGGTCTCGCCCAGAAAATGGCATTTCATTACATTCAATGCTGGTTTTATTCACATTGAATTCCATTTACCACTTGATGCTCCAAATACTTATTTTATCTAGATCAATTTGAAGGGCATTACAATCGTCTGCATCTCCTATCTTCCCCATTATCTTAGCATCATCCGCAAACACGTTCATATAATTCTGAATTCCTTCCAGTAGCTCATTAAAGTAGACGATGAACATTACTGGTGCAAGAACTGAACCCTTTGGTACTCTGCTAGTAATACTCCTCCAGTCAGATTCATTGTCTCTGATTCCTGCCCTCATCTGTCAGTTAGAACATTTTTTATCCATGTATGATGTGCATGTGCATGTAGAAGCCAGTACTGCTGTCTTAATAAGGTGAGGGTGTCGAGTACCCTAACGTGATGTGTACAGCGTTCTTGGATATGCAACACAAGTAATCTGCTCGCCCAATGATTCCAAGGGAGGAACCAAAGGTGTTTCACATCCAATTTAACATCTGCGTGTTCCAGTTGTTGCCCGCAATGCATTATGTTATTATCTGGGTCTATTGAAAGACCTAAATCTTGAATGATCTTTGGTGGGAAATTCTCATAATCATCTCCATAGTTTGAATTTGTGTTTGTTTGACCCAATATTTAAGTGCCCCCTGAAATTTATGTTGGATACTACTTTGAGAAGAAACACAATCACATTCTGGGTGACTTAAGAAGCTTTGTTAGAATTGAGTACAGAATACAGTCAATTACTGGAGTCAAGTGGGGATTTGGGATTTCAATGGGAGCTGTGACATTTTTCACTATGACTTATGTCTTTCCTTTCACCTGATTTTTAGGTGAACAGAGGCATCCTTTTGCCTGATGCCTCTGTTCACCAAAAAGTAAATAGGTACTCAGAAGTTTGACAACTTTTATGGGTTGCATCTTGGGGAAGGTCAACAAAAGTTGGCCTAAGGGGGACCTCAGTAAGACTAATAGGTTTCCTATCCCTGAATATGATAAACATAAGCTGACCCATAATTTATGGGTCTTTAGTTCTTTACTAAATTGTGTTTTCTATCTTTTGTCAAGTAGACAGTAACAGAGATGTTTGAGCAACTGATCAAGAACAATTTCTCCTCTTACTCTGGGAATCTTCACTGTGGTAACTTGTCTGCTCCCATCACCTTATCACCTCCACCTCAGGTAAGTCTTCCATTGGCTTCTCAACTTTCTGTATTCCTGAATGTTGTACAGTTGTCCAAACAGTGCAAGCTGATATTAGATCAGTGGCAAAAAAATAAACCAAACTTATATGATGATTTAGTGTGTAATGTATATTTAATTTGTTACCCTTTTACTTTCTTCAAAACACTTTCCACAACTCCATGCACAAACTTATGTTAACCCCTGCACTGCTCTCCTTTTAAAAATGACAAGCATATGGTGCTCGCCAAAAAAAAAAAAATTCTTTTGAAATTGTTAATTAGCATCCAGGAAGCACAAATATCCAAATAAAGTTTCTTCCTCTTGTAGTTTAGCTATAGTGGCCTGGAGAAGGTGCGTGTTTTTGGTGGAAATCGGGCAAGTTGCCACAAGGGAATACCTTTGTCAATTTATTTTCAATGTTTCTCACGTTATTTATTTAGTTTTCTGTGGGGGAGCCCCGTCGGCTCCTTGGCGCTATTGGACATATTAGCTAATATTAGTATGGGGCTTCAGTCATATGGAGTTGTCATGCTTACCAGAGACCACTAGCCAGAACATGGTCCCCTTAGAGAGGTGCAGGGAGCAATGAAATGGCCTATGAAATTCTCATGTATGAAAGTATTCATGTCTGCCATTGACTAAGGTTGACATCCAGAAAGGTAGGCACTCCAAAACAGACCCCTCCTAGTAGAAAAATTGCAACCTGAGACCGAACAGAGGCTAGAGACTCCCCCAAGGAAAACAAGCTAACAAGCAACACGTCATCACACCGAGTGCCGCTTGTTCATGCTCATGCAGCTGTGTGGAAGTCTGAACTTCACTGTGATCGTTTACCCGCTGGGTCAGGTTTGGTTGCAGCGTCTGTTCTGGTTCATTCCGGACCGTCCTTTTTGCCTCTCTTGCGATCACTGGGTTCGTTCCTTGAACCTTGCATTGGCTGCTGAGTTGCCGGCTTCCTCTTCGCGCTTTTCAAGGTTTAGTGCCTTGGCACCTTCCGGAGCCCTGCCTCGATGTGTTCACGGATGTTACCTCTACCTCTCTAGGTTGGGGCTTTGTGACCAGTGCTCACCAGGCCGGCCAGGGGCGGTGGGCTCCATCCTTTCGTCGGGCTCACAGTACGGGGGTGGGAATTTGCGACTGTGTGGCTTGCACTGCGTTGGATTCGCCTTACTCTAGGCACCATTTAGATTGTGCGCCGGTGGTTCATTGCTTGAACCACGGGAAGGTCTTTGTAGTCCGTTGCTCTTTCGCTGAGTTCTCAGGGTATAGCTCTCTGTGCAGTTCATATCCGGGGCGTGTCCAACGTCCTGGAGGACGGGCTGTCACAGTTCAATTCCCTGTCCACAGAATAGACGGTCGACGTTGACTTGTTCTGTGTGGTTACCTGTATCTCTTACCCCCTAAGTTCAGCTGGTGCTTCGAGTTTTGGCTCGGTATCAGACGCTGCTTGCTCGGTGTCCGAACCTGGAGCGGTTCGGACACCTTTCCATGGCTCCGCCTCTTTCAGCAGATTGGGCCAGTAAGGAACCTTGCTTGTTCGCTCTACTCTTCCGCACTTTGCGTCTGGAGTTCCTGACAGGACTGTATCACCATCTGTATGGTGACCAGGTGGCTTCTCTAATGGTGTCTCACCTACAGTCTTCTTCTCGGCAGCAGAATGAAGTTTTGGAAGTTTTTTCTCCACTTCTGTTCCCTGCATAGGTTGTCTTCTGTTTTGGTTTCTGTTGTGTTGCTTTTTCTTTCTTGGCTCTTTCATTTTATGCCGAATACTGATGCCTCGTATCGTGCATAGCTAGCGGAGTCGCTCCAGCTTGCGTTCAGGATGAATGTCACTTTGACTACGTTTCGCAAACTTTCTCGTGCCTTTTTCCACATCCGGCCTGCTCATGTGCCGCCTGAGTTGTCCTGGACTTTAGACTAAGTGCACTCATTTCTCTCTTCTCCTCGGTGTGTGGTGGCCCCTTCAGTCCAAGACTGTTTTCAGAGAGCTTTGTTCTTGTTGGCTTTGGCTTCCGATATGAGTCAAGCCTGGCCTTGGGCCGGGCTTGGGGAGTAGAAAAACTCCCAGAACCCCCATCAAGCAGGTATCAAGCAGGGTCGGTTCAAGGAGCTTCATGCTCTCCAGCGCAGAGGTTTTTGCTCTTCTGGTCTGGGTGTATGTTTTGTTTATTTGCCGCCGTCTCCTTCTTTTCTGGCGAAGAACAAGAAGGCATGCTTCCGGAGAGGTTCGTGGGTTATTAATGCTTGGTTGGTCAGGCCGAGGGTGCATCATGTTTTGTGCCCGGTTGCAGCTGTACGCCATTACCTGTGCTCCTCGGCTTCTGTGTCTAGGGATGCGCTGTGGGTTGACCTGGTGTCTCTTGTTCCCTGTTCCAGGGCTCAGGTCTTGGGTAGTCCATAGGGCTATCAAGTCTAGCCAGCCTGCAGTTACCCTCGTGCCCATGATGTTTGTAAGTTTGCAGCTTTGGCTGATGTATTTGGTAATATGTCTTGAGCTGACATTCAGGTGTGGGGGTTTTGGAGATCGAACAGGGTCCTGGCTGCCCGTTATCTTGTTAATGTGCCGGGCCTTCAGCAGTCTTGTGTTGCCTTTGGTTGGTAGTTGCAGTCGAACAGATTCCAAAGAGTGGCCCAAGCAGATTCAAAAAAAAATCGGTGCAAATAACTTCAACACGGCAGCCGACGCCCAAGCTGCCAAGGCAAGCGCACCGGACACAGACCTGGAACCCAGCTCCTCCACATCCTCCTCGAGCCAGTCCGAAGACAGCTCCAGGAGGACAAAGAAGCGCAAGACCGAAGCCAAATGCCCATGCTCGCACAAATCCTCGGCCACCACTAATGCCGAAAGGGAGGGAACCTACATGTGAAGTTGCACCTGGCCGATATTGCAAGGAAGCACAGGGACAAACAAGCACACATTGAGGTGTCCCAACTCGCCCACACAGGTAAACCTGAACAACCGTAGTCAACTCCCGCCATTCAAGTGTGCGGGTCCGATAGGATGCATGCTACGCCTGCCATGAAAAGAAAGGGCAGAGTGCCAACCAGGAAGACTCGGGCACCTCGTAACGCACCTAGCAAGTTTTAGAGGAGCCAACCTCAAAAGAAGGATCCATTATCAAGGTGTAATCTGGATCTCGCATCCCGCACCCCTCTCGGCGGGATGCGGGAAGCCGAAAACCTCTGGAAGGAGGGAACTGAGGAACCCAAGGGAACCCGGAATCGAACCCATATCAAACTCGAACAGGGAGGGAGGGAGGGAGGGATAGGAAAATCCCTCCCCCTGTAACAAGGAGCCCCACACCAAGGGTGTCAACACCCAAGTGGGGTCAAACGGGGCCCAAGTCCCCAAGTCAACTCCTCAGCCCAGGGATCCTCCACTGCTAGACCCAGGGCCGAGTTGTCCTCCAAACCCTCTGCCTTTGGAGAAAACGCAGAGTCCACCGGAAAAGCAGGGAAGAAGGGGGGCCCGCTGGCATGGCCGCTGATCTGGATGGGGCAGTCCCTAAGGCCGCCAATTTCTCACCACCAAGAAAGTCCTGCCCCGACTCACAACCCTCAGATGTTTGGGAGTCGGGAGCAGGGGGGAGGGGGGCACGATGAACAACAACAGGAGGAAGGACAAGAGGACGTGGACGAAACCAAAGACAAGGCGACTAACACCCCCAAGTCTGGGTCCATATAACCAGAGTGGGGCAGCTGCGAGGCATTTGGAAAGGCAACCAACCTAGTGTGTTCCAGCAACCTAAATCTCCCATACAACGCCAAAGCTGCCTACACCCGAATATCAATATCAGTGGACTGGGTGAATTGGAGTACAAGCAAGAAACACCACTCGCAGGACTCCGGGCCAAGGGTGTCATTGACCCAATAGGCAGCATGGCAGAGGCAAAGATGGTGAGTGTCACCCTGAGACAAGGAGGCAGAGCACCCTTCAAACTCGCACAAAGCGAGATGGGACTCAGAGGATGCTTCCACTGGACCAATGAGGCCCAATGGGGGGGTTTCCAGGGCCCTTAGGCTGACTGATACGGGAAGCCAAGGCAAGGTACTGCCAACTGGTTATCTCAGAATTACCAAACAAACAAACAAAAATGCTGAACCCCTGCGACGTGTGCAATCACGGGGACCTAGCGGAGGGCCACCAAAATCATACATTTGGTCCTACAGCAACACCAGGCAAAACAAAAGAAAAGAATATAAACACCCCGTAAAAGCACAATGTATCAAAGAGGAACAGAACTGGCCGCTATGCGTATCATAAGACAGCTGCAAAGTACCTTGCGCTCCTGCCAGCGACGATGCTACCTCCTACCCAAGGCCAAACAGGGGTAGGAAAAACCCTCCGCTGAACCCAAGGGCTGGCAGTCACCAAGCAGCAAAAGAACCCTGCGGAAAGGTAACCCCAAACTGCAAGGGTAGTACTTACAGGGCACCTAGGAAAGGCAATCCTAGGTGCATGCAACCCTAGTACGGTACTTCTGGAATAACACCTGGCTCGCACACCACCACACCGCAGCACAATACTGCTCAAAGATTGGAGCCAGAGTCGATCGACCATCGCCCAACACAACAGCCTCAGAACTGGGGTTAGGTAGCCGGTGCAGGAAGTCTGGGACCCCCCTTCCCCCTCCCAAGGAGGGGAGAGTTGCGCAGACAGCGGCATGTCGGTTGTGGTGATGTCATGCTTGTTTGCTTGTTTGCTTCTTTTCTGAATCGGTAGTTCTGCTTGCTCGTTTGGCTTTTGGTTTGCAGTGTTTAACCAGCTATAGATTGTTCTAGCTCGTGGTCCCCGGTAGGCTTAGAACTCCATTGACTGACTGTTGTCACGGTCTAATGTATACATATCAGCCTGGTATAGCTCCAGGTCTCGCCAAGAAAATGGTGTTTCATTACATTCAACGTTGGTTTTCTGGGGGAGCCCCATCGGCTCCCCGGAGCTATCCAGGCTGAATGGATATGTGTAACTTTCTGGCATCAGTCAAAGTGCTTGGAGT